TATATACACACACATAGTAATATAGTCTCAACACTAATATACAAGCAAAATAAGTTAACAATATATAACTGTAAAGATCTGCACACCTTTTGCTATGCAAAGCATTACTGTAGTGCTCCCTTTGAAGCATGGGTCATTAATGGATCCCTAAGTAAGCAACTGCAGGCTCTCTGTGGAGACAGTGGGGTGATGTGTCAACATAAAGTGCAAGGACAAGTATGTTTTGATGTATTACTCCTTTTGCTCACCTTGCTTTAATATTAGCTACTTATATTTAAATCTACCAGGTAGAGATTCACATTCAACTTATTTATGACAGTATAAACCTACATGACAATAAAAGTGATACCATGAACACTAGAAAAACACACAATGTATTTTAACAGTTTTTGTTTCCTGCCATCACTTCACATTGTTTTCTTATTTTGCACCGCTGCAGTTTTCTGCTGCAATTAGCAAGTCTACTGAAGGGAGCGCCCAGGGGGCTGCCATTTTGCTTGATTTCATTTGATACAGGTTATAACTTTTAAATTTTGATGAGGCCTGCAAAGGCTTGTGTTAGGTATAGGTAACATAAAAAAGTACTGTTAATTAAACTTATTTCAGTAACTTCAGATCACTATGATATTATATGTCCACAATGGGTGCTATAGAATAACCTATGGACGCGGAAACCAAATTCAATCCCAGACTGTCCTTTAAATCAAAGATGCAGATTGATAAATATTTACACTAGGAGCAATCACACTAAAACATTTTGCCCTAAAAGATAAACTCACCCAAATCTGCTCTAGCTTTGATAGGATGCTGCGCATACTGCTCAACAGAGTTCCTGGATATTCCTCTCTCTAATTCTATTTTGCTTTACAGTGTAAAATAAGTGGAGAATCCAATACCCCCTTCATAAAGAAAAAAATAAACATTGACACGAGCAGATGCCTGGTGATTAGATGTGTAATTATGTTGAAGCCTATATTCACTTCTCAGGTTTAAGGTGCCCATACACTGTACGATTATCGTACGATAATCGCGGGAAATCCCTCGATCGTACGATAATCGCAAAGTGTATGGAAGGCATGCGACCGTTTCTACTGTACGGTCACATGTCTTCCGTCGAACAAGCCGGCTTGAAAACCCGCCAAGAATCGTACGATTCTCTGCGAGTTAGTGGCCTGCTTGTTCGACAACTTCCAAACAGCCCGGTGTGCGCATGCGCACACTGCCTGTTTGCAGTCATCGCAAGCCCGCCCCTCATTGCAGTCATCGCAAGCCCGCCCCTCAGGAAGGCGGACTTGCGATGATCGCAAGTACGATCTGCCTGTTCAAGATGGGCAGTTCGTACAAGCTTTTAATAAGCTTACAACCATCGCAAGACAAAAGTCTTGCGATGGTTGTAAGGTGTACGGGCACCTTAACAATAGTGATAAACATGAGTTTGACCTGAACCCAAGTAATTTGCAGTTCATAAAAATGGTGACCTATGCAGCTGTTCTGGCCAATTACCAATAATGCACCTGCTGACCTCTCAGAAGGGGCAGTCATGGAGGGTATCTTTTGTCCCTGCCTACCCCCTATAAAAGTCAGGGTTACCAGCAGCCTTTTGTCAGTGTATGTTGGAGGATACATAGATATGGGCAAATTACAGAGTGTTTTCAGTCACAGATAGTTTCTGCTATGCTGCTATACAGAGCTGCAGAATAGCACTATATGCATAGTCAATCATATAAACAGTCAGTGTGTTTTGGAAAGACATGGAGTAGATAGGGAGAGATAACAGAGTATTTGCAGTGAGAGATAGTTGCTGCTATACTATACAGTTCTGCTAAAAAGAGCTATACTCAGTGCTCTATTGTGCTATATTACTGTGAAACACACTGTAGTGGGCTATTATTGTGTATCTATTCACAGCGCACAGGCCTAACAGTCTTTTCAAGGGCTACCTTTTTGTGTGTCTCAGCAACAACTTTAGTTGCTGCTTAGCTGCTGGTCACTATGCATTTTTTTGTGGTGTTTCATGGTTTTTCTTCCATGTTTTTATATTTCTTGTGTACCTTAAGTTAGGTAAATTTAAAAAAATTGGTTTAGGCCCCATTCACACCAGGGCGGAAGCATTTCAGCGCAGTTTCCACATGATTTTTGAAAGTCTGAAACACAATTAAAAGAGCCCAAAAATGCACTGATTAGCCTATTTCCATTGAAATTTATATGTAAAACACACTGATCAGCGCAAAAAAAGTAGCTAAGGGAGCATTTTGGGTGGAAGGTGGTTCAGTTCGTGCAGAGCCGTGCTCTTGCATGAACGGTCCCCATAGTAATGTATGGGATTGTTCATTTCGGCGGACTGAACTGCCCTGGTGTGAACGGGACCTTAGTGTTTTAGGTTTCATTTTGTTTGAAGAGGTATTTTTTATTATAAAAGGGTATTTTTAGGGGGTCAGCAACATGACTGATACAGGAAAGTTTGTTTTTTGTTTGTTTTTTGCAGCGCAGCACTTGTATAGTACAGTTTAGTACACAAAATCAGCACACATTGTTAAGTGCAGCAAGGACCAAATGCCTAATCCCCCTTTTGGCATAGCTGCTAATAAAGTTAGGCAATCCCCTGTATCCAATCATGTCATGCAGGGTTAAAGTGAGATAATGAGGGTCGGCACATGCAGCTATTAGGGGTGAGCAGGTTCTGCATCTGCAAATTAAAAAATGCACCTAAACCATATGATTCACTCTTCAAAATGAGGACACCATGGACTATCGGATGTGCAAGCTGGACCACTCGTGGGAGCTCACACAGTATGCTCTCATTTTTATTTCACGATAAAACCTGCCTGTTCTCTCTCTGAAAAAGCAGGCTAAATAAACTGCTTACATAGTGTGCATGGAACTTACTTTTTTTCTGTGAAATAATACACTATCATTTTGATTTCTTGATTAAAAACTGCCTTGTGACTCCCCCTGAAAGTGTAGTCTAGTTAAAGTGTCTAAATACAGGAGTCAATATAATATTTGTCTTTTTCTGTGAAATAATACATTGTCATTTTGATTTCCTAATTAAAACATGGCTGTTGTGGTGCTGGGATACTAGGACCACAACAGCTGCTTATAAAGCTGCTCTCTGTGAAAAAGTTAAAGGAAACATGGAGTTTAAAATGTCTTTTGCCATTTACAGTAACTTACGATACTGCAGTCAGTGGGGCTTACTGTTTATTGTGCATCTCAATAAAGTTGTTGTTACACTGATCTGAGACTCATATGAAACCTAACCAACCGTTCAGTGTCTGCAACCCTCCTCTGCCGATCCCTGCACTGGCTTTCAATAGCCCAAAGGATAAAATTCAAAATATTAACAACAACTTACAAAGCCATCCACAACTCTGCCCCCGGCTATATCTCAGACCTTGTCTGAAAGTATCACCCTAACCGTCCCCTCTGCACTTCATAGTATTTGAGGTTGAATAAAGACATTAGTCCATCAAGTCCAACCTATTAGGATCTCATTCTAGGAGTACCCGTATCAGGATCCAGAGCACCCCCAGGTGGCGCTGGAGCCAGGTCCTGCAGTTCCTGTGCTCGCCTGCGGGTGTCTCCAGCAGCCAGGGACTGTAAGGAACCTGCAGCTCCAGTAAACAGTGGGAGAAAAAAGGTGCATTAGCAGCACTCTAAAAGAAAGTGGCTGCTACGCTCCCTTGATGAATGAGGAGTACAAGCCTCTGGCTGCTGACTTGTATCATTGAGGTGCTACTCCCAACAAGTTTTGTGGTGCTGAGTCATATGTGTCCTCATGCATTTGTTAGCTGAATGACTGTTATGTTTACTATGGCTAAGATGCTGCAGCCAGAGGCTGCAGACCACAATGGTGTTGTTGGCAGCAGATATTAGGGCCCACACTGCAAAGCTCTTTCTATTCACTGCCTATTCAAGTGCTTGCATACTGTCCTGACACTGGCCACTTTATTCAAAACACATAACTGAAATCTATTTTTGGAATATTCTGGGAAATAAATGGATATCCAGGTTAGGAATGGGTTTGGGGAGTGTGGGATTGTGGTTTTGAAGTGCTTTGGTGCACTCTGTTTTGACATTTTATTAAATGTTTAAGCCAATGCAGTGTGATACTGGGACATAAAGCTCAGAAACTATACTATGAAATTGTTTTGTCACTAGCCAATTTGTCCAAGGTTGATGGTTTTAGCTGTATTTTGATTTCCACCAGGCAACTCAGTCCCCTTACCCTTGTATATAATAAAAAACATGTGTTGCAGCCAAAACTACCCAATATGCCTTTTTGTAAGTTGAAATTACTTAGAATGGCATGCTGCTGCTGTATTTAGAACAAGCTAACTGCAAAAATCAGTTATTCATGCAACACCACACGCAGCTTTAAGGCATCTATGCATGTCATAGAAATGAATGGTGTTTTTCCAATGGTGCCCATGTTGGCTGGATCCGCCATACTATATAACTGACGGGGGAAAATTAATGGAACGGAAGACCCTCTCCCCACTATATTTTTTACAATTTGCCATTGGCACATGCTTCCCATGGCAGTGCCCAGCTCCCCATGCCCTCAGTTTGACAACCCCTAGACTTAAACATAGCCAAAACTGATTTTCAAGATTCATCCCCCCATGGAGATACAGTACCTTAATGAGATATTAGTAAAAATTTGCAATTTTAGGACTTTACGATGGGTTCAAAAAATGGCCCACAAAGTGAACCCAGGCTGATCTGCTCCACCCATAAACTTAATATAGACTGTAATGTACACACTGCTTAAAATGTAATTATTTTGCTCACCTGCAAACTTCCCTCTATAGCAGTGTACATAGACACACACTACATACAAGTAATTACCTGAAGCCCCAGTTCAGAGGGATATCCTCAGTCTCGAGTACATCATGCAAACTTCCTTTAGGACAATATTCTGTGATAATAGCCACATTTGGAACTTCAACACAACCACCAATAAATTTGCAAAGATTAGGATGATCAAGATCCCTACAAAGATGAGAGGTGATGCAATTTGAGTAAAAACAAAAATCAAAGTTACATTAGCAGACTTCTTGAATCATTAATGACTGAAAGACAAGCATTTATTTGGTTTATAGCTTTCTGTCAGATTCCAGCTGTGATTGGGTGCTGTGAGCAGCACAAATACTTTTCACTTCAGACACTTTCAGCACATGAAAGCCCAATGTAATGTCTGCTTCCTCCAGCTAGATAAAGAGGTCTTGTTCTAACATAAAGTTTCACAAGCAAAAATTCACCGGACACACAAAACACAGCATCACATAACACATCTAAATTATTTCTATTCTAGCACTGGAACAAAGATACTGTACATTTACCTAACTTGCTTTACTTCCCTCCGTATAGTTTTGGAAAGGTTAAATGTCTTCTTTGGGATTTTCTTAATAGCCACTATCCTGCCATCGCTAAAAAAGGAGAATAGTGATTTTCATTGTTTTTTTTTTTTTTTTTTCTGTTATACAAGCACTCAGCAGTACATTTCTTGAAGCAACTGCCAAACAGTCTCATCGCAGTCTACCATCAGATTACCTGGATAAATTTAACCTGTATCTTTATTAAATTGCTAGGATCTGGGCTTAACTTTTAATCATCAGACATCTGATGAAATAGAGATGTTCAAAAGCTTATCATATTTCCTCTGGTTGAAAAGGTATATTATCCAAACACAAAAGCCTAGAAAACTTGTAATACATTTTCACTGATACATTTAGTACAAAATATGTGACAATCTTCCCCAATACACATGTTCTATTTATTTTTGTCCCTTTTATTCTCTCTGATAGATTTTTCCAATGTCCCTTCGGTAAAAAAAAATCAATTCAGAGTCTGCTTTCACTTTATTTTCTTTTTAATTACCAGCATCTAGGTTCTTCTCCAATGGTTTATGTAAGCTCCATCACTTTCATCCCACATCTTTACTTGTTTACTATTTTTTGCCTTCAAATTTTTAATTAGTGTGTACCCACTTGCAGTTGCTGAAGCCTTGCTTAAAAGGACTTCTGAGCAATTCTAACATGGTAGATGTAGAATTTTAGAAAAAGAAAGCATTTAACTCTACAACTAGCCAGACTCTTGCTGTAAAGTAGTTTAGGAAGGTGTAGGAAGATAATTAAAAAGGTAAGTATTGGGAGAGTAAAATGTACTCTTTCCAATACTTAGAGCAGGTGTGTAACATTGTAGGTGTCACATGCCGGCTCTATAAATCGAGAGCTGAACAATCACGAACCGCTGATCGCTCAGCTCACAGTCTTCTCCCTGACTTTCAGTGGCCGCTCCCCACAGGCATTCTCCCCTCCCCTCTCTGTTTCTCCATTGTTCATTGGAGGGACAGACAGGGAGGGAGCGGGCACAGCTGGCTCTAGCTCTAGAGAGGCAGAACCAGCTGTCAATTAGCTCTAGAGAGGCAGAACCAGCTGTCAAATTTCCTGGCTGCAGCACTGTCAGCAAATAGTGGGTCAAATAGTGGGTCAAAGGAGTACATTGAACTGCTTTGACCCAAAAGAAGACTAAACCAAAAAGTTTGGTTTAGTTCTCTTTAAAAAATAAAAAATAAACTTAGAGATTACCTTTAAAATTTGAAAGTACCATCAGTCTGCTCATACTATGATCTGCCCTGCCAGCCTGCACTGACAACTATTTAGTACAGAACCTTTCCCTTAAACTTCTCAATTTTTTATATATATGATTTTTTGAGAAAAATCTAAGCATAATTTGGACTGATCAGGTATTGTAAGGAAAGTGAACAAGCAGTAGTCAAACAGTAGTGATCTAAAAATGTATTTCCACTTTTACAAAGTCAAAGTTAAGACAATTGTTATGTGTTTCCATTACCACAGCATTCATACATTTTTAAAAACATTTTTTTACCTTTTTTGCTCTCGGTTTTTAGCAGGCTTTGGGGCAGATTACAAGCTTCTCTGTACAAATTCAGTGACAGGAAACTCTGGCTGTCCCCTTAGAATGATTAGGGACACTCTGGGCTTCCTCTCATTAACATACAATGCTTCTATAGTTGTATCCCTTTGTTAGGACAGACAGTGTTCAAATCTAATTTACAACTAATAATGAGAACACCTCTCTGTACTGCCAACACAGTACAGACAGGGTTAATTATTGTAAAATAGCCTCCCCATCCTGTTGCATTCTAGAGGAAAATTCAGTTTAGAGATAAACGTTTCATTCAGAAAGAACAAATAAAATGGTAAGCAGCATTTTTTTAAATTATTTTTAAGTGAACATATAACAAATACATATTTTCAAAATTTGGTTGTAAAAGTGGAAATACACCTTAAAGTGAATGTATGTCTGAAAACAGACCAACTCATAATATGATAATACAAACATGGAAGTGCAAGCATTTAAATGTGAAAGTCACACCAAACATTTTATATTGTGTAGTAGATGAGAACAACTGACGTCATTTTGGTAGTTGGGCATACTGTCTGTGCCCAACATACCCAAAACCTCTAAATGGATTTAATCTTTTCTTTTCCTGCTTTTCTACAGCATATTTGAATCTAATTGGTGTGTCTCTTGTGTTCTGGCCCCAAAACACCAATCCACTAACAGCTTTTGCAGCTTTTATTTGCTCAGTGTCCAGAGGAGAGAGGCATAGTGTTTACAGGATACCCAAAACAGCGAGTAGGATTTTCTCGACTCACCCTCTCACAGACCTGTAGTGTATCATTAAGCTGAAATCAGCAATTGTAAAATTGTATGTGCCTTTAAGCTGGGATCGGTAATGGACTGCACAAGATTGCCTGAAGGTGCTCCCTTGTCAGCAACCTTGCTGTCTTCCGGACCCTAGTACAGGTCTGTTTCCAAACCTTGAGGCTTGGCTCTGGAACTGTTCCCTCCCCAGGCAACAGACCTAGGAGGCAAAGGGCCTCTGGACTCTTGTCAGGCAGCAGGCCTGGGAGGCTATGACAGGATCCCATACATAGGCATCCTCTCCAGGCAAAGCCTGGGAGGTGAGGATGCTTCTAGAAGGGCTCTCTGAATATGTACCTCCTTCCCAACCCACATCACTTGCAATAAATCACTCAGTAATTGACCAGGGTAAAAAATATATACCTTCTTGTTTATATCCTGGAGAACAATCCCCAGCAACAGGCAAAAGTAAACAGGCTTAGGGGAAACCCAACAAAATGCAAAAATAAAATAGCAATCTGAGCTCAGGCTGGTTACAGACTAGCTGCCCACTAAATTTGGAATAGGTAAACTCCAGGTGCACTGATTTCAAACCCATTTTATAGTGTATTTGGCATGGCAATATAGGATAAACAGGGTATAATAAATAAGGGTGAAAACAATGAGCACGTATTTCAGAGATATGTACTGTGTATGGATTTACATGTTGGAGATGTACTACGGTTTAAAAAATACATTATATGTACAGGGTGACTGACAGGAGTCGGACGTTTTTAGAACAGGTAGATTATTACAGCAACGCAGCGGCTATTTCCTCGAGAATTTAATGTTGGTCAACACGGGGCTATTCCCAGTCGCAACACGGTCCTCAGGTGGGTTGAACATTTTAGGACAACCGTACTGCAAGGACACCGAAAAACATTGCAAGGGTGAGAGAGGCACTGCTTAGGAGCCCGGGACGGTCTGCTTGAAGACATGGAAGTTAGTTAGGATTGAGTCGTGAATCAGTGAGAACCATTTTACAGAGAGATTTAAGATTCCGTCCATACAAAATGCAGGTTGTTCAACAGCTCAATGTGAGAGATTACGAGCAACAAAAAGACTTTGCTGTGCGAATGCACGTGATCTTGGTGCTCACTTATTCACGACTCAACCCTAACTCACTTGCCTGTCTTCAAGCAGACCGTCCCGGTTTCCTAACCAGTGCCTCTCTCACCCGTGCAATGTTTTCCGGATTTCTGAAATTTCTGAAATGTTCAACAAACCTGAGGACCGTGTTGCGACTGGGAACGGCTCCATGTCAACTAACATTGAACATTGATTTCAACATTGAATTCTCAACGAAATAGCCGCTGCGTTGCGGTGATAGACTCACCACAAAGCTGTCGTAAGCAAGCAAATGATGTTGTAATATCCATTGCTTCATTGTGTCTGAATTGGCATTCCTGTGGGGGGGGATAAGACACCTAGCTCGTCCCCCTCCCATCACCATTTACCGTGTACTACCTGTTCTAAAAATGTCCGACTCCCGTCGGTCACCCTGTATAAAGAATGATGACTTATTTTAAACAGAAGTGAGTGGTGTCGATGTTACCTGATGCAGAAATATATTATGTAATTCTACTGACATGAAGAATGGTTTAGAAGGCATGTGCACAATAGAATAACATGTCAGCTGTGGAAGGTGGTGATGTATGGTATAAGACATGCAGTAAATCAATTCTACAGACTTCCTGTATTTGCACTCTACTCTTCAGCATTGCGTCTAACATCTTCTGTTATTCAACTGCATATATTTTTATCATACATTAGATTTGTAACTAAAAATGCAAACAAGTATCAGCATATACTGTGGTAATTAAGCAAATTGTGCAATAATTTCACACTGATTATGAATGATCTACATTACAATAAATTATCTTTTGTTCACACACTATGATGCTGTTTAGTATATAAAAGCATAATTGTTCCCCATATGTTGCAAGAAATAATATCATAACCCCTTGTAAAGGCTCCTAAGGTCATAAAATATTTGGCATCTGAAGCTAAACAGAGCAATGTCCATTCTGTAAAAGCCATTAGAACTTTATATGCCAAATGACACATTTATGATGTTTAAAGATGAATTCCAGGAACAAAAACATTAATTTAAATATGTTCCTTAATAGTCTCAAATGATACAACTTCACTTTTTGTGCATAAAATGACTTTTCAAAATCAGATATTTCCTTTTAAAAGAGCAGTGACACCATTACTGTGCTGTACATAGCCTGTGCAGAGAGCAGAGTTGTAGGAGGGACCCAGCAGGCCCCATCCACTACAGACTGCCTGCAGAAAACTACAGGAGGGGCCAGATACATGACCCGTCACCCTGCACAAAGACAGAGAGCAGCAGTGACTGGTCTTCGTTGCAGGAAATCCCTATACAGAGACAACGTACTGCACAGATCTGTAAGAAATACACACCAAGGACACCAAGACTTAAGTAAGAATACAAATTTTTTGGAATCAGACAATATTTGTTTAGTAAGGAGTTTAGCTTTGAAATGAGATGTTCGATCATCATTATTAGGCACAGGACAGGACTCATCACACTCCCATTTTCAGAAGAAATTCACCAATACTGATACCAGTATCAGTGCCGATACTGGGCATTTTCCTGAGTACGAGTACAATTTTTAAACACAGTGGCAGCCGTAAGGTCCTGCACTTGCTGGGGACCTCTTGACAGCCTGCTGGGGACCTTGCGGTGGCTGTTTGCTGCGCCACTCTGGCCCCACATCTCCTTCTTCCCGCCGCCCACATCCAGTTGCATGGCCATGGGGAGACCTGGCATACCACTGGGGAGTCCTGCACCCGCCCACACAGCCCTAATGAGACCTGCCCGTACAGCCCTGGTGAGACCCACACAGCCCTGGTGAGACCCATACGCAGCTCTGGTGAGACCCTGCAAACAGTCCTAGTAAGACTGTGCACACAGCCCTGGTGAGCAACACACAGTATGTAGCTTCATATTATTCTGCATTGCTGTATAATGTATTGGTGGGATTTGTAGTCCTCTATAGCTGGTGGTATTCTGCACTACTATATAATGTATTGCTGGAATTTGTAGTCTCTCTACAGCTTGGAGTCAATGGCAGAACTACCAGGGTTGCAGCTGCGTCCCAGCCCTAGCACTCCTCCACTGTCCTTAAATCATTAGTCTGTATTGTTTTAGAAAAACTGTCACATAGCACTGAAAAAAAGGTATCAGTAATTGGTATCAGGGAGTACTTGAGGAAAAGTATCTGTACTCGTACTCTGTCTTGAAAAAAATGGTGTTGGTGCATCCCTAATTTTCAGTGCTAAGGGGCCTTCAAAACATGTCTCATCTATGAGATTCACCTAAATGTAATTATTTTTTTTTTTAGTTTCATAAGTTTTTTATTAATTTTTTCCAAGTATAGAAATACAGCTAGTACATACACTCCAACGTAGAGTGCATGCGCACATTAGTTCAAATGTAATTTATTAATGGGTAAGTTTACATTTTTACCATGCTTCAAGTTGCACTCGTATTTATGGTGTAACATGAAGCATGGTCAAATTGCAATCCCCTACCCCCATCCTACCCCCCATGTACCTGAATTGGGGGGTTATTCTCCCTGTTGGCTGCTGTTCTTTTTGAAAAAAATAGTGTGGCTGTGCATGGCTCTGCCCAAACAGCCATGTCATCTAAAAAACAGACCCTTTAACATGATCTGTGAATTGAGAGATTGCCAGTCCTATATCCCTGTTGCTGAATGTCCATACCTCAGAGATGACATAGACAGAAGAGAGAATCTGTAGAAGCCAGAATATTGCACCTGCAACACGCTAATCACGGTTACACTGCTTAACTGGCTCCAATGCAAAAAATAAATGAAAAAAAAAAAAAAAATTTCATTCATGAAGAGGTATGCGTTTACTTTTTTTTTTTTTTTTAAAGGTGGGCTTTACCTTTAACATTTGTTAAATGTATCAGGATTTAAAAACACAGGAGCTGCTTCTGCTGTTTAAAAATGCGAATTACCTGCTACTCAACCAGAGTATGAATGTCAGGAAAATAAGAGTAAAGTCTTAAGTCTTTATCCGCATACCTTTTTTTCAGATCAGAGTTCAGAAATGGCATTCTTCCGATTTATTTCCTTTAACAAAAAACTCCAGGAAAACTTTTTCTTAACCCTTGCAGTGAGGCCACCCTCACACTGCAAGGGTTAAAAGAGAACTATTAAGGAACCTTTTTATCCCATAGTTCTCTTCAGAGTCACCAGAGGACATAGACTAACATCCTTCCGTGACCCAAAACTCAGTATGTAGCGGGCTACTGCCCACTTTATACTGTGAACTCTGCAGCCAGGACGGATCCCAACAATACTGTTGAGATCCACCCCACAGGCTGATTGACAGTGGGCTCTGCCTATCTAGAGGCAAAGTCAGCTATGCCCGGCCCCTACCCTGCCTGTCCCTCCAGTCAACACTGGAGGATTGGAGAGGGGCAAATTCCTGTGGGGAGCGGGGACTGCTGTGCAGGGAGATGATCGGGAAGTGAGCAAGCGGCGGTATTTTTTCATGTCACACGTCGGCTGTAACGATGGGGATGTGTCACGTACCTGAGGTGAGACTGTAGTAGTGAGGAGGCCTCCCTTGCACCTCTGGAGATGGATACAGAGACCTGGCGGACACCGAGTGGCACGAGTGCCGGTGGTGTGGAGCACCGTGCAAGCCTAAATCCAAGATCCGAGCTGGGGTCAAGTTCAATCGGGCAATGAAGTACAAAAGGGCAAAGCAGAAGAATGGTCAAGTTCCAAGCCGGGGTCGGTTCCAATCAGGCAGCAAAGTACAATAGGGCAAGGCAGAAGAATGGTCAGTATATGAATCCGAGGTCAAGGGCAGGAAGCAGGCAAGAGTAGTCACTAGGGTTCCGGGTCCAAACAGATAACACAACAGCACAGGAAAAAGGAGAGACTGAAGATAATCCAGCAATTTGGCAGTGTCCAGGCTGGGCTTATATAGGGGAAGTGATGATTGAGGTTTAGGTCACTTCCTGTGCGCCTCCTTGGCGCCTTCCCGCCTTGCTGAATCGTGCCGTCTGCACATGCGCGGGTTGGCGCAAAGACGCGCCCTTGGTGCAGATTTGTTCCTGTTGGTGAGGCGACACGCCCTTGGCACATGTGCAGATGGCACTGGACTCTTACAGGATGAGTGTAATTCACTCACCTCATAGTTCTCCTTTGAGTGCTCATTTTTGTCTAGGTGCTAAAAAAACGAAGTTATACTCACCGGAAGCTCCGAGCTGGCCAGCTGTGTGCTCCCTCCAGCCGGTCTCCTCCTATGCTGTATACAGTACTATGTATAGGCATGATGATTTATGGGACCTTAGACCATTGCAAATGAGGGGAGAGACGTTACAGGGACCAGTCTAAGAACAAGACATCTCAAAACATTGGGTGAGTAAAACTTTTTTTTTTTTTTACCTAGAAAAAATGAGCAGTTAACCCTTGCAGGGTGGGGGTAACCCCACTGCAAGGGTTAATACATTTTTTTCCCTGGCTTTCTTCTTTAAGTGTGCATGTTTATAGTTAATATAGACCACAGTATAATGAAGAGATTACATAATAACATATAAATAAGTCTGACAGGAGAACATCAGATAAAAACAATATGATTATTGGACAGGAGTATAGAAAACACTGATAACTAAATGCCAGTCACTTTAAACCCATCTATTGAACAATGAGGACGTCTTATACATTATTATAACAATTAAAGTATTAATATAATATTTATACACTGCAATGATAAAAAATAATGAAGTCATGGGAATTATATACATCTAGGACTATACATTCAAATTCAAATTTGATCTGGTGCATCTTATCTGTCTATGTACCACACAACATTTATTCCTGGTGTATGCAATTATTTATATTTAAATGGATTATTCAAATAGTGTCAGGATAATTCTGCATGAAAACAAAAGGTATATCAGATTTAACAAAATTAACAACTGAGCAAGAAGAAATGGGATTTCAGTTGAATTTCTGTAGAGAATTAGAGAGTGGAAAATTAAATTGATAAGGACATACTATCTGCCAGTCTTGGTGAAGAATTGCTGTCTCGAAGTGCTGACAGCCCCTGTGCAGGAGCTCAGCGTAGTAATACAACTGCCATTGGAGGCGCTGGCAGCTTGGAGTGTACTTCCGGTAGGATTCTGAGCTGTGGAATGATCTGAAGATAAGAAATAGTGTTTCAAGATTAGCACACTAAGAGCACTTACAAAGGCAGACTATATTTTTATGACTTTCACAATGCATCTAGTGATATACTTTTTTATGTTAAATTCCCATTGCACACTAATCTACTACATCCTTTTATATATATCTATATATAGATATATCTATATCTATATATAGATATATATCTATATATAGATATAGATATATATATATTGTGTATATATAAACACACACACTGTATAGATATATATTTTTTTCCCGAGAGAACGAAAGGCCTAGGCAAGTTGTAGATACTTGGTTTGCTTAATCATATTAATAAAAATAAAAAAAGTGTCATATTCTCATGAACCTATACAGTCAGGGCCGTCTTTAACGCAGGGCAAACGGGGCAGCTGCCCAGGGCCCAATCATTGTTGTGGGGCCCAAAGCAGCTGCCCCTTCAGCCCACATAGGATAAACACATGCAGGGCTGGCAGCCTCACCTGTGTAGGCAATGGTGCTTGCACCAGCCCTGCCCCCTGTCTGTGTACACAGCATCGGTGCTCTACAGACAGAAGGCTACATACAGCAGCATAGACGTGGCTCTGGGCTCCGCCCACTATCAACTCCGCCCCTGCCCCCTGCTCTCCGTACTCTGCTCTCCTGTGTTGTCTGGGGCCCTGCTGGGAGCCCACACCCTGCCCTGAGATGTCACCCCCACTGTGTCCCCTCCTGCCTCTCCTCTCTGGACCTTCACACCAAGTAAGTGCCCAAATATGCCACAGTATATGTATGCAACAGATACATATACTGTGTGCAACACATACATATGCAGAGCAGGTTCCTGACATTGCTTCTCTAGTTCAATCTGTGCTGCTGAAGCAGGATTTAGAGTTTTTACAGAAAATGTAATTATCAAGTTCTATGTATGGCTGCAGCAAAGCTTCCTGTTCTCTCAATACTAGGGATGCACCTATCGATAATATTACAAACAGGATCTGTGCTATGGAACAACAAACCCCTAATCTGCCATGCTAAAAAACTGTATATAACACCTAAAAAACGTGAATTATAAATGTGCACTGCACTATAAAGACCAACTACATATGTAATTTAAAGGGGTTCTAAACCCTCCGTTTTTTTTGCCTATATCTACTTCTAGCAAGCAGTAGATATAGATAAAAAGTTTAAAAAAGAACAAAAAACGCTTTAACAGCGGTTTAAACTTACCTCGTTATCGCTGCGTGCTCCCGTGCCGAGAATCAGGAACTGCTCATGCGGCCGCAAAGGATCTTGGGGAGGGCGCATGCACAGTTCGGATTCTCGGCCGGGAGACGAGCAGGGACGCAAGGTAAGTCTATGGACGCGTGCACCCGCATGCAGACACCGCTGGATCGGAAGTGCCTGCAAGCAGAGAGGAGTCATCGCTGGATCGGAGAGCTGCCGCACCGCTGGAGGGACAGATGAAAACATCAGGAAAGAAGAAGATCGGAATAAGAGACATCATTTAAGGTAAGTGCTAACGTTAACATGGGGGGAGGGAAAACAACTTTTGTCTCTTTAATGATAATCTACATGTGAAATAAATACAGAAATATATAAATACGCAGAATTACCCTATGGTGAATAAATACATTATTAGGTATTTTTCCACTATATATTGTATTTATTCACCATAGGGTTATTCTGCATACTTATATATTTATATCACATGTAGATTATTATTAGATTGCATGTGTAGTTGGTCTATAAAATGCATTGCACGTTTATAATTCACTAGGGATGCTACTGCACCGATACCTGCACAGCCCGCCTGAGACCCCGTACACAGCCCTCCTGAGATCCCGTATTGTCCTCCTGAGACTCCGCACAGCTTCCCACCAGGTAGGGATGCACAGATACTTTTTGAATCCAAGTGCAGATACTTGGCATTTTCATGAGAACTACCAGAGTTGCAGTGGTTGTAGCTGGGACCTGGCTCTGGCGCTCCACCACTGTCCTGAAATCATTAGTCTGTATTGTTTTTGCAAAACTGTCACATGACAATAAACACAAATGTATCAGTACTCGTACTTGTAAGTACTCGGCAAGTACCAGTACTCGTACTCGCAAAACTGGCATCTGTGCATCCCTTTATTTATATTTATAAAAACAAAATCGTACATTAAAACAGAGATGTACAAATCCCAGGAGCTCCGTGTGCTCCTTACAAATGACAGCTGCCTCCTAATTTTTAAATTTTTCTCTAGTCTAGTCTTGGAGCTCAAAAGTATCGGTACATGTACTTGTACCGAGTACTGTACTTGGTATCTGTGCACCCCTACCACTATCCTGTCTCTCTCCTGGCTGTCTGTCCTTGCTCTTTCTCCTGGCTGTCTCTCTTTGCTCTCTCCCCTGGCTGGCTCTTCTCGCTTTCTCTCATGGCTGTCTCTCCTTGCTCTCTCTCCTGGCTGTCTCTTCTCTCTCTATTCTGGCGGTCTCTCCTCGCTCTCTCCCCTGGCTGTCTCTCCTCTCTCTCTCCTGGCTGTCTTTCCTCAATCTTTCTCCTGGCTGTCTCTCTTTGCTCTCTCCCCTGGCTGTCTCTTCTCGCTTTCTCTCATGGCTGTCTCTCCTTGCTCTCTCTTGCTGTCTCTCCTTCGCTGTCTCCCCTGGCTGTCTCTTCTCACTCTATTCTGGTGGTCTCTCCTCGCTCTCTCCCCTGGCTGTCTCTTCTTGCTCTCTTTCCTGGCTGCCTCACCCTGTTCTCTCCCCTGGCTGTCTCTCCTCTCTCTCTCCTGGCTGTCTCTTCTCTCTTTATCCTTGCTGTCTCTTTTCTCTCTCTCTCTCCTAGCTGTCTCTACTCTCTCTCCTGGCTGTCTCTCCTCTCTCTATTCTGACTGTCTCTCTCCTGGCTGTCACGCCTCACTCTCTCTTCTCTCGCTCCTGGCTGTCTCTCCCCTGTCTGTCTCTCCTCGCTCTATCCACTGTCTGTCTCTCCTCCCTCTCTCCTCCCTCTCTATCTCCTCGCCAGCTTAGGGTAACGGGAGGACGCTAGTTTGTGTCCTCCCGTTACCCCAAGGAGAACTATGGGGAAAAACACTGACCCCATAGTTCTCCTTTTAAAGACGGCCCTGTATACAGTAGGCAGTCTTGTGCAATTTGTATTTTTTTTACTAAATTATGGGTAGTCCCCCTGTGTATACCTAGTTTTACACCTCTCCCCCTAATTGCATAATTAGACAAGACATAGAAGGTTATAAGGGTTTCTGGAGGGGTGTAAATGACCGTCCAAGAGAGATATTTTAAAGGAATATACAAAATGTATTGCTAATACATGCTTGATTAATTACATACATGATTCAAAACAATCTTATTAAAAATCAAAACCCTGCAGAGGATACATTAATATATTCATTATTAACAACTCTATAATTCATTTGGTCCGACAAATGGTAAGTAATAGCTCTCAGAGCAACTATATAGTATCTAATTGACCCAGTTGGGGTCATATTTAGGAATATTAGGATATATGAACAATAGATCTAAACGTATGCATTAATGAATGTCAGATATGATGTACATATAAATGAAGAAACATTTTCTTATTAATAGATTCATCCTAAATGGGTCCCCTGATGAAGCCCATGGCGAAACGCGTCGGGGCCTAATAAGTTAAGCTATGCTTTGAAAAACTACTAATTGGTTATAATCATGAAACCACGTTTGAATACGAAAACTACCATCTGGTTATAATAATTTAACCACATCTGAATTACATTGAACAACATAATGAATTGTCGCACCAAATGAATTATAGAGTTGTTAATAATGAATATATTAATGTATCCTCTGCAGGGTTTTGATTTTTAATAAGATTGTTTTGAATCATGTATGTAATTAATCAAGCATGTATTAGCAATAAATTTTGTATATTCCTTTAAAATATCTCTCTTGGACGGTCATTTACACCCCTCCAGAAACCCTTATAACCTTCTATGTCTTGTGCAATTTGTAGTCTGACAAAGCTAGATCTGTCTTTATGCACCCTTTCCCAGGGAAGGGGCTGTAACATCCAAGCTGCTTCTATGAAAATGAACTCACTTTGGAAGAGTTGGCCCCATGCTACTTTCAAAACACAATGTTACTGGCAGTATAGCTGATTGCTTTCAGCTATACTTTCCAGCAGCACTGTTGTTTTCAGGAGGCATTGATTGGCAATAGCCATATGCAATAGCAATATGCCTAGACAAAAACTGGTGCCTCCCCTCCTGCTTGGCTGGTGCCACTACAAGCCATCACCACTATTTTGATATCTTTTATTGCCTTGATTAACAGCCATTGACAGATCACCTAGCCAGGAGGTGTTCAGTCCATCTCTCGGTCCCACACCCATCCACCATCCAGGTTATGTGCTTATTGCCTGCCTGACCCCTACTTATCTCCCATGCCCCAGCCTAGCACACAGAACTGGCAACACTTTTAAGCTAACCAGAATTAAAAGGCGCACAGACCCTGGCAGTAAGTAGTGGCATCTGTTCTTGGCCTCTCAACCTCATGCTGTCATCCTACACACCTGCTTATTGCATTCCATCCACACTGGCTTCTAATTACCTTTCACTTGTTCCACATCTTTATATCTCCTTTTCTAACGCGAGTTCTATTTTGCTTCACTAATTTTAATCCACTCTACTCCTCCATATATTCCCCCTTCATTTGCACTCTAAAAAGGTTATCCAAGCCACTATTCCCTAGACCACTCAGGTACCTTACCTCATGGCCAGACCACAAATAGCCCCATTGTCTCCCTTGCCTCCATACCCATATTACATCTACTCCTACCCCTAAACTGCTTCCTCTCAGCCCCTTATTTTCTGCCATCCTTTACCACGCAAACTTACTCATTCACAGTAAGCAACCCCCACTCTTCTCCGTGGTCCACTTTGCACGCTGCTTGTATATTGTACTTTACTTTCATATCTTTTGTTGGGCCCCAGGTACATTATTCCACTTCCAGCACCACTGAATGCAGTTGAGCTATCAGGACAAGTGGGCATCATGTATAATGTATATAATTGCTTGTATAATATATAATTGCTTATCCCAATCCCCACATTGACATCATCAGTCACACCACTGATTACCGCCCTATTCATCCTACAACCTAAACCACTCTTTACCACACAGAAGAGCACGCCATATACCATTTTATTCCAAAATAAGGCACCCCTCTACCCCACTATTAAATTGTAATTGTAATAATAATGAAGTCTGATAAACCTGATTCAGACTGTGCACAGTGTCATTATAATATTTTTCCAAAATTCACAAGTTAACTTTAAAGACAAAACAGAGGGGCTATCATAAACAGCATTTAGTGGGGGCTGGAAAACCAGAGACCTTTATATTGCCTATTGAAAATAGTTTAGTTGAAAGGTTTAAAACAATACAAATCCTGAGTCTGGTTTTCTTTTTTTTTTGTTAACCTTAGGTTCAACTGTAAGAACCCAAAATTTAGCTCCATAAATATTGATATGATAAAATGACATGCATAACAAGTGTTTACACAAATGCATAAGAGAATTACAGTTTACTACCAGGCATGACTAGACTATAATGTACTGGAGACTAATTTGTCACATTACATGTCCTAAGAGATCATACATCAGATGTATATATATTTAGTGTCTTACAAATGGTAAATTTATTCTATTCAATAATATGTTGATTGTTGAATTGAGGGAAATATTGATATAGTTAAGAAAGTGACATTAATAGAGGGTCCGCTGAAGTATAAATCACAAACTTCAACCCCTCCAACTCCTACCCCTCCTCCTCCTACCCCTCAGAACCTTTAATTGGTTATGTCATTTCTGTAAACATCCTCCTCAGGGAGTAGAAAAGATGGCTGCATCCACAGCTCGTGAAACCATGCCAGACGGCTAAGGGTCCTTCATGAGACTCGATGACCATAATACATTAATTTGGATAGAGAACCAGACTCAAGAATAGGCGAACTCTTTTTCAAATTTAATTATGTCTATTTTGTAATATCATTTTCTGAAAATATATTCTTCCAAAAAACATTTTTTCCCTTTTCTTTCATTAAAATAACAATTAAAAATAGCTAGGCTTTATCTTTAAATGCTCTGAATCAGAAATGAAAGAATCCTTGTCTCTTTGAAGAGTGCTATTTTAAACTCTATTACCTTCCTGTCTGTGGGCAGACATCACCTAAAAGTCATAATTGCTACAGGAGAAACTTGAACAGTGCTTGTTTTCATTAAAACATGTGGTGGCAGCTATTGCTTGTGTGTGTTAACCCTTTAACTGCTTTAGCCCTTTAATCCTTTAACTGCTAGTTAACATACCCCATTAATAACCAATCATGGTGTACTGGTGCTTAGAGTGTTGTCCCCCGAGCTGGAAAATCTCTGCGCAGTGTGAGTGTAGGAGTGTAATTGTCATGTTCTGATGTCAGCAGCGGATTTTGGGGAGTGCTGCCATCACAGTTATGCCCCATCCCGCCTTTGGTAAGTGTCAGGAGATTCCCCTGCTGCCCCAGAGGGAGCAGATGACAGACTTTATCAAAGTCTACCTCAACTGCTTTTATGTGACTCTATAGTGCTTACCACCAGGGTTTTAACATATGAATTTGGCTTCTCTGGAGTACACAGTGCAATATATGCTTTGTACTATAAAGGTCAAAGAGATCATACAGGTCATCCATGTGTCCTAGTTATTTATAGATGACATTTTTGAAGCAATAAATCTAAAACCACAGATCTGAGGTGTACGATATCACAGGAACAAATAAACATCTTTAGCATGGGCTATCGCTTCATGATTTTGATGACATGTCATTGTCATTCCTGTAGCCTGCTTCTTCTTATAAAGGAAAAGGATGTGTATATGTGTGCAAATGCATTGTCAATGAAAATAGATACAGGGTGCTGACTAAGATCGTTTATGGAGATACAAAAGGTCATATGCAGACTCTCAGTGTTATATATACAGAATGCATTTAAAATAAGGGCAAAAACAATCCTACATATTAACATGTTTGGACTTCATACCTTGTTTTATGTCACTGTACTTGATAATCCAACTTTCATCCCAAAACATTTTTTGCCTTTGGTATTGAAACCACTATACAAAGTAAAAAGTATAAAGAAAATGACAATTGTTACATTAAATAAAAGCGATGAAAGTAATGGCAATGGTTATCTTTCTTTTTCCAAATTTTAATGTTGTTCTTATTAGTTTAAGAGGACAAAATATTTTGTTGAGCGGGATACGAAAATAACTATTATCTAGCTACTTGGCAGTTGGGTCTATTAAAGACATAACTGCTGTAAACACCTTTGCTCCTCAGTGCTACATTTTACTATGAGACATTAAAATGTCTTCACTATTATTTAACACAAAAATGGATGAACATATACATATGAGCATGATTGACTACACTGCACAACATAGATTTTGCTTCTTGAATGCTTCTGGGTGCATCTTACAGATTGTGGGCTGATACTCATGAAAATAAAGTGTAATTTATCTTATCATGTACCATTTAAAAAAATCTACTAATTATTGATTATGTTATATGATGTTTTGTGTAGCTCATACAAGTGCAGGCACGCACAAAGGGCTGTTTGTATAATGTGTGTGGAACTTGCACAGGTTGGGCATGCCTGGAAATGCTTAGGCTTAGTGTATGCTGCTCTAGGGACAGCTTGCAATGTAGGTCTAACTTAGTTACAGCCTTGCTGTTGTAGATGTTGTAGTACAGTTGGTGACATTAGAGATGGCTCGACAATGTCGAAACAGTCATGACAGTATACACTTAAGTCTCAAATATGCACCATGACTAGACCTGTTAAGAAAGTGTATGCACTCTACTTGGTTGTAAGGTTGGTGTTCAGGACAAGGCATTGGCTCCTCACATTTGTTGTGCAAGATGTGCTCTCAATCTTAGAGCTTGGCTCACAGGAACTTGGAAGTCAATGCCATTTGCTGTCCCGATGATATGGCAAAAACAGAAGGAGAATGTAATGGACTGTTACTTCTGTCTGATTAATGTCTCCAGGTTCTCTGTTAAAAATACAAAATCAGTTGAGTACCCCAGCCATGAGAGCAGTGCCACATGATGACAGTCTGCTGGACTGAAACAACCAGATACAACGGCACTAATTTAGATTTTGAATCATGTATGTCTCGCAAGCCTCAACTCAGAGAATGATCAAGCGGTCCGGGTCAACAGCAAGTAAATAGGAGCGAGACAGGAGACAAGAGCATAGTTGGACGAAATAGATGAAGTTGCTAAAGATGTTGCAGTGCACCAACCAGAACAGTGACAATAATGCAGATTTTGAATCATGTATGTCTGGCCAGCCTTAACTCATAACAGTAAGAATGAAAGGACCTGGTCAGACACTTGAGTTTGTCATAATCAAAAGCAGAACTACTGGGTTCCAGATGGCAAGGATGGTGTTTGCTATCACCAAGTATGAAAATATCTATCTTTAAAAGCCACCAAGATGATTTAAAATGTCTCTTTGCACAGGTAGAGAACTGACGATTTCTTCACAGCTTTGGGTTGAGAGAATGACCTGCTAGAATGGCACCTTTTTATTGATTCATTCATATTAAGCATCAAGGCTGTCTTGCTACACAATGACAATGTACACCATTCAATACCACTTGACTAAGCTGCACAAATGTAGGAAACATACGAAAACATGGAACTGTTGTTGAAGCACATCCAGTAGACCTGGTGCTTGGAATGCAGCTTGGCTATACCACGCACTCTTGTTTTATCTGCAAATGGGGCAGCCAGGAAAAAAAATCACATGACATTAAAAAAGGAACCAAAAAAGGAACCAAAAGAATATGGTTCCAGGACAGAAAAATGTGGCACACAAACCACTTGTTGACCAAACAAAGATATGTTTGCCTCCACTTCACATAAAACTCAGACTGTTTAAAACTTTTGTGAAAGCAATGAACAAAAAAGGGGAAGGTTTTCATTATTTGAGAATGTTGAGATGTTTCCAAGGATAACTGATGCCAAGAGTAAGGAAGCCATTTTTGTTGGTCCACAAATAAGATACATCATCAACAACAAAGGCTGCTGTAAACAAAGCTAGCAGGGTCTTGTCCTGTATTAAAAAGGGGATGTATTGCAGGGACAAGTCTATAATTTTGCCACTTTATAGATCATTGGTTCGACCTCATCTGGAGTACGCGGTCCAGTTCTGGTCACCAGTACTAAGAAAAGATGTCCTTGAGTTGGAAAAAGTCCAGCGAAGGGCAACCAAACTAATTAGGGGTATGGAGGACCAGAGCTACGAGACGAGGCTACTAAATTTAAACATGTTCACATTAGAGGTGAGGAGATTAAGGGGGGATATGATTTCCATGTACAAAATGTTTAATGGTGGTAGCAACATTAGCGATAAACTGTTTAAAATTAACTCCGTTACAAAAACTAGAGGCCATCACCTAAAATTGATGGAAAAAAAATTCCAGCACAAGGGGCGAAGGGGGTTCTTCACAGTAAGATCAGTTAGGGTCTGGAACTCACTGCCACAGGCGGTGATTTCAGCAAATAATGTGGAATTGTTCAAGAAACTTTTGGACGATTTCTTAAGGGACCGTAATATACAGGGGTACGGGTACTCCTAGAATGAGATCCTAATAGGTTGGACTTGATGGACTAATGTCTTTATTCAACCTCAAATACTATGTAACTATGTAACTATGTAACAAGCAGTTCGAAGATTTGTTAGTGGGGCCAGAGGAAATTGCCTAGAAAGCATTCAAGGATGTAATTAAAAAAGTTTTGGGTAACTACAGAGCATCAAACTATATTTAGATGGTTGACAAATTTATTACAGCATATAAGATTATGAAGTGCAGCATGACACCGAATATGCACTTTCTGCATTCACATTTGGACTTTTTTCCTGAAAATCTAGGTGCTGTCAGAGACGAACATGATGAAAGGTTTTGCCAGTACATTGCTCATCCCTTGGCAGAGTGATCCTGAGGACTGCAACCTGGTGCCAGCAAGCAGCAAATCTCATCTCCACCATTAGGAGCACTGGGGAAAACTGGCTGCTGCTTAGACTCCACACTTCAGGTGAGTCAGCGTCACCTGCCAGGGGGTGTTGCCCTAACAGAAAGGCTCCAGTGTGAGACAGAGGGGGTGATTTACTAACCTAAACACACGCACGCACCAGGTGCGTAGAGTGTGGTTGGAATCCGGCAGGGGTCCAGACATGTGATAATTAGAGAATGGTCAGGCGGTCTGGTTCAGCAGCCAGTAAATAAGACAAGAGAGAAGACAAGAGCATAGTTGGATTCAGGCAGTGGTCAAGGCAGGCGGGCTAGCAGGAAATAGTCAGGCAGTCAAGGTCAGTAACGAGCAGTTGGTATGCAAGGCAAAAGACGAGAGCATATTCGGGTCCAGGCAGAGGTCAGGGCAGGAGACAAGCAGAGAGTGGTCAGGAGGTCCAGGTCAGCAAACATAAACAACTTCAGTATGATAGCTCTTTGCACAAGCAGAATAGCTGGTTTGAAGACACAGCACCACCCACTTCCAGAGCTGGTGCTTAAATATCCCTCTGAATCAGAGGAGACACACTCAGCATCACTTCTGGATGTTCTGGCATGTATTCTGTGGCTACTTTTACCAATACTGGCCTGGATTCTGTGAGTGCCATTAGAAGTACTGGCAGGGCTCCTGTGAGTACCATTAGAGGTACTGGCGGGACTTCTGGAAGTCCTGTCCAGGTTTCTCACAGAAGTTCGGCAAATACCGGCAGGGCAGCAGGCTGCTTTAGAACAAGAGTGACAGCAACAATTATCAATAAATAATTAAAATACCAAAGCACTCTAATGACAGACCATATCCCAGTATATTGGGTAGAAAATTTTGTGGCACAGAGAAAGAGACACTTTTGCATGCTTCTGCTACACTGTAGGCCACTAGAAAACCCAGCCATGCAACTGCATACCCAGCTAAGAGGAGAAGGAGACCCAACAAAGACATAGCTTAAGACATGAAGGACTATCTGTTGTCTGGGAGAAAGCACTAGTAGATGATGGTCCTTACTACAATAAAAACATATTTTGATGATCCCATGGGTACAGTGGATGAGACGAGGGTTGGACATTCAGGAATGAGGGTGAGGGATGGGACACTTCTGCTACTTTTATTGTTATCCTGAGTAAAGTATAACATAAAAACAACATAGTAATGCTGAACTTTGTATTTATGGGTTGCAACCCTCAGGCTCAATTTTGATTTCAGCACGGTGTGCTGCGCATTCATACGCACGGCACAATAATGTGCACATTTAAACATACACACAGTTTCCGCACATTTGCGACTACTACTAGAGCCAGAATGTGCAGAAGTCGCCCAGAATATTGCACTTGTACTTTTTTGAGCGATGTGCGTTTTCATGCCACGTGTATGACGTCTAGGTGTGAATAAGCTACATTAAAATGTATGGGTTTTTGTGTTTTGCGCATTTCTGCGCATACTATTATACATGGAAAAACGCTAATGTGTGAACAGAGCCTCATGCTGAAACAACTAAGAAACAATCTGCTGTGTTATTAAAAATGGATTTACCATAGCAGACAAAATGAAGCCTGTGATAATGATTGCCACCGGAATAGCAATGGCCATTCGAACATAATTTGGGAGCGAACATTCTCCACAGTCTACTGGGCATGTAGCACAAAATTCTTCGTCTTCACACAAACCATTGCCACACACTGGAGAATAAGAGACCAGGAAAAACAACATTATGAAAATTATGCAAATGTCTAATAAATGAATAAGTCAACTGTTTATACTCCAACATGTAGTAACCCCCCATAAATTGCTCCACATTTAAATTAAGGTTTGAGAAGAACGTAGGGACTTTTTACTTGTTTTGCATACAAGTTGGAATTCATTTTGAATATATACAACAAAACCTGAGCAATTTAATTATAGTGTAGGCAGATATAAAATACTTTGTTTAATCCGTTTCCATAAATCCAAAAAATACTTTTAATGGTAAACTCTGGTATTGCATCAACTATCTACTTGTTTACCTTAGTCCTTCTTTAATGTGCTCAAAATTGCCTTAGAGTAAACTAGTCTTAAAATGTCCCATCAATAGTGCAGAAGTCCAGCAGCTTTCAGTAAATAAAAAAGGTAACTCCTGCTTTTTCTCCTTGAGTAGGGCTACTGGTTGTGTAACTGCTCCTTGAATGCCTAGAATGCATGGATACACTAGTCTTTCCCGCCTGTGAATCCCTGTTTTCTTTAATGGGCGTTACATGGAAATGAATTATGATGAATCTAGCAGCTCACAGCTGAGAAATATCTTGTGACCCACCCCTAATGTCCATTGGATGAATGGATTTTTTGGCCACAAAAGTAAGTAATTTAAAAATGTTTTTTGATTGCAGCTGTATATGGGGAGATAGAGTTTGTAGTTAAAAAAAACCCCAGAATGATTCTGGAGGTCAGCACTAAATTTATTTTTAAACTGTGCCTCAGTCTTAGTACTACCCTACTTTAATTTCCTCTACATCAGCATTCAGACTGGGAAAGGAAGGGAGAATAACATGAGCCATTCAGGAGCCTGCCGATTGGAGGAGTATTCTAACTCCAATTGTTGTATTAGCGATTTATCCCTTGCTGAGACCTCTATGCCTGGCCGGTATCAGCAGATATAATCACTGCGGACAATCCTTATCAGATAACTGAACTCACCAAATACCTTTCCACAAAATGCTTTATTGCATGCAGCAGGTTACAGCAGACAACAGGATACAGCAGATTAATGAATAGACGGTATTTAAAGGTCAAGGATGATAATGTTTCCAAGCTAGCATGTACATGTGGTCCTGCTATAGGCAGCCATGACACACGACTAGCTGGAGAAGAAGGGCGGTACATTACACACAAGGGGAGGGAATGCAGAAAAACATGGTGCAATAACCAAAATGCCCACACGACGGCAGTAATTAAACAGCTACTAATGGCACTGAATAAATGGCCTGAGGAAAATGAACTATGTACATTTTCACTTCGCAATAATATGGATATTAACCGTGGCTATGCATTGTGTCATATTATTTATGCAATTATTGTGACAGCACAAGGAGTGAACCGAAAGGTAACCTAATCAGTGAGTTTCTGCTCCTCTGCAGTCCAAACATAGACCAAGCTTTATTACTTTATCTACAGTGGATAAAAGTAAACGGTCAGCAACTGGCTATGGGTTTTTTCAGGGGTTTTGAGGTTAGACGGCTAAAAAAAAAACCCACATTTTTGGCAGGCAAGACAGTTTACACATATGTATTTCTATGTATATTTAGCTGTTCGCATTACACCTCAATATTACCTCAATACTGTATTAATCATATGATCAATTCAGGAGAACTGCCAGTATGCACATTTTTGAATTGCCTAGCCTATATGTGTGATCTGTAGAGAATCTCATATTTAAGAAAACTAGAATCATGACTTGTATGATTCTCTGCAGACTGGACAAATCTAAATATAATATTGAGGCAAATCAAACAATTCAGTTTGTTGAGTTTGCAAATCAATTTGTCATCTTCACTTTTTAGCAGGGGATTTGAAAACTTGAACACTATATCAAGAGCAAAGAGGGTTGCTTTAGCATACTTATCATACTTATTAATATATTTTTCTCAATGGATTGCAGTAGGGATGTCCCGATACCATTTTTTCAAGACCAAGTACAAGTGCCTTCCCTTAGGTACTTAATGGGACATGTGACATTTTTTCTAAAACAATACAGACTAATGAATTTAGGGCAGTTTCTTTATAATTATGAAGAACTATAACTCAATCCATGATTATAGTTGTCCTGATACAAAAAAAAATATTTTAACCAAATCCGTATTTGACCGTGCTAAGAAGCGCTTCTCATTGGTCAGTGTGGTCACCTGACTGCACTGACCATGAAGTGCTCACAATTTCTGAGTGAAATTCAAAATCCATAGTGCAGGGCTGCACTGGACGGCAGTATGAGGTACAGATAGTACACAGGGGTGCATAGGTACAGAGGGGGAGGTCTATTCACCAACAGGTAAGTATAGCAAGAGGGGGGGAGAGTTGGCCAGATTTAAGCAGGTAATTCCATTTTCCCAAATTAGTTGAGAAAGTGAACTTACCATTTAATGTGCATTGTGTTTGTTAGAGAGCGCTGCTGCCCCGCTACCACAATACGGCACACAGTGGAATGAGGACAGCACTCAGTGCACAAACACAATGCCCTATGCGTGCGTTTAATTGCACTTAGATGGCGGGAGGGGGCAGGTTTGGTTTTAATATTTTAACTTGTATTTATTTTATGATTTTTTATTTTTTTATTTACATTTTTGTTTTGTTTTTTACCTTTTTATCACTTTGTTTTACCTTCTTAGTACTTTTTATTTTTTTGTTTTTTATTTTGTTTTTTTTTAAATATTTTTTTACCCTTTTATCACTTTTTTATTGTAATTTTTTTATTGTGTAGTTTTATCACTTTTTTTCACTTAACTTTATTGATAACACACAGGGGATAACAAAACCCTTTGTGATATAATTTAGATGTGACAGGTTCTCTTTATGAGCCTGCCCTGCAGTACAGAAAATCCAGCACAGCATTGTGCTGGATCTTCTGTACAGCTCAGGTTGTAATAGCTGACACAGTAAGCGCTGTGAATACAGGGCTTCTGTGTCACTGATCACAGAGTAGAGTGGAGAATGGACGTTCTCCACTCTGCTCCTCACTCTCCATCCTGAACTACTTTTCTGTGGTCCCCCAGAAGAGCAGGGGAGCCCGAAAACCATGGGGGGACGGACCTTGGAGGGGAGGGCAGTAGGGGTGGGCGGACGAGCAGGCGGCTGTACAAGTCCAGGCGGATCACTTGTACTAAAGAGCAGCCCGAAGCTATTTAAAATTGTAAAGCGCCAGCATCGGCGCTATCGGGTATTATGTATGTATCGTATGTATATTATTATTATTATTATTATTACATAGTATTTATATAGCGCCAACAGTTTGCGCAGCGCTTTACAATATAAGGAAGACATTACAGTTACAATACAATTCAAGAATACAATACAATACAATTCAATATTACATATTATATACATATATACATACATATTATGTATGTATCGGGTCATTTTCACAGGCACAAGTACTCGTGAAAATGCCAAGTATCAATATGGGGACAGCTCTAGACTGCAGGGTGCAGAATCAACATTGCAAAGTATAATCTATGCAGGCACGTCATTTTGTAAATGGATATAGATTATTATATAGCACATTAATAAATATTTGCAAAGATCTGATTTTCAGTGATCTAATTCCGGCCCTCCAGCTTCAAATCCCATTAAGCATCTTTCTCTGGGAGTTATGCCTGTGGCTTTGAGAATCTTACAATGCCTCAAGGGATCTGTTATTCCACAACAGCTGGAGGGCTTGAGTTTCCACATCTTTGGTATAGGGGTTTCTTTTCTATTTTTTACCTTAGCAAAACATGGCATTCTAACACTATTTTAACACTAAACTGTCGTAAAACTGATGTGATTGGTTGATATAGGTCATTGGTTGGCAATCTCAGCACTGAGATTGTTCGTGGTGAAACTGCAAGTTTCACAAGGCACTGCAAAATGCTGACGATCACAGGTGTAATGACCAGAGGCATCATGGGATTTGTAGAGTCACCACAGCTGCAGTGCCAAGGTTGCCTACCCCTGGTATAGGTTATACAATGAATTAATCCTGACTTATCTATGACTGACAATGAAGTGGGATTTATATTTATAACGTACCTACTACAGGTAACACCAACGTTTTAGCCTCCAATGCAACTTGCATGTTGCCAACCCTAATATGAGCGATTAAGGAAGTTACACCAAGATGAAGTAAGACAACCTACAAATAAAAAGTAAAAAATAATAAGTAGAAATAGGCTTATACGTATATTCAAGTGTTTTTATGGTCTAATTTTGCAGATTGTCAAACCCTGTATCATATCAATATCGCTAATCTTAAAACTAATTGACACTTCTCTGATAAATGTAATAAAATTCAGGACAGTGATGTTATTAACTTAGCAAAATGTATTACCTGACCTGTTTTTATGTTCGGAGAGGGATTATGTAATACTATCCATTTTGCCCCGGGGCAAATGTGCACATTTTGTTGATGACTTGGGAAAACATAAACAGTTGATATAAAATTTGTAACATGTTTACAGGTATGGCTCTTAGTGAGGATATGTGTTGAAAGGCCGTGGGAAAGCAATGCTGTAGATTAGGCATGTATGCTGTGTCTTTAGTCCCCTTAAAGGCCCATTCACACTAGCCCGTCCACCGTGTTTTAGCGGACAGGCTAGTGTGCTGTGACAGGTCCAGCAGTGTGCAGGGTATCACACACTGCTAGACCTGTCACTGTTTACATTTTTATTTAACTTTATGGGTTGTGTACAATGTATACACTCCATTCGGGTCCCTGCACAGCAGCACTATGGGCCACAGTAGGCTGCTCAGGGCACATAGAAAACGATTGGTTTCCATGTGCTCTAGCGGTGACCTGCGTTTTTTTGTGCAGCAAAAGGCAGGCTGCCCTATAGTATGAATGGGCCCTAAAGGGTTCCTGTCGCAAGACCATTTATTTTAACACTACTCTGGGTTCAGAATAAGATTACATTTAACATATTTTAGCCATGCTTTTTACCTGTAACAGTCTTCCTTGTTTAGACTTTCAAAAGCTCTGAGATTGCTGCTGGGCGCCACTACCTTGGATGTGATGTTAGCAGTCCTGGCAGACACAAAGCTGTGACTCAAGTGCCACTCTGTAGTATTTCCCTTCTTTGTAGGGAGGTGAGGGGAGCAGAAGGCTTAGGCCAGCACAGAGAGTAATTACCCAGAAGAGGATAGGACCTGACAGAAACAGGGCTGTGCTAGGGCATCCTTTCTCAACCAGGGTGCCTAGGTACCCTGGGGTGACTTTTGGGTTCCTCAGCGGTGCCTCGAAACTTTCACACAGCATGTCTTTCCATGATGCAGGCAGGGGAACTGCCAGCACAATGGAAATGAATTAAGCTAATTCAGGGACAGCGGAATCCATTCAGAAAAGGATGGAAGTTCACCTCCGTTCAGGTCTACTATGCATCCTGCTGTCTGCCTTGCTGCCACAGCTGTGGCTCCTGGTGTGATAGTAGGACTCTGTTGTGGAGGGGAGAATGATAGCTCTTATGTGAAGGGGGAACCGAGGACCCTAATGTGAAGGTTAAGCACTCAGATGTGAAGGGGAAACTCTGATGTAAAAGGGGGGACTGTGATATGAAAGGGGGATTCTTATGTGAAAGAGGGGCAACTGATATGAAATGGGGTGTTCTGATGTGAAGGGGGCTCCTTATGTAAAAGGAGGGGGCTCCTAATATAAAGGGAGGCTCCTGATCTGAAGGGGGTTTCCTTATTTGAAGGAGGAACTCTGATATGAAAGGCATAAGATAAGTGCCTTGAGATTTTGCATACCCTTAAAGGGTGTTGTGACAGAAAAAAGGTTACGATACACGGTGCCAGGAAATTGACTCGTCAAATTTGCAAGCACATTGCAAGTGAATTAAAAATATTTAATTCTCAATTTGGAAAACTTGCAAGCATATAACAAAACAAAAATATAGTATATAACATATATAATACAGTGTACAATATAATACAGTATATAAAATATAACAAAAATAAGTAATACATTCTATCACAATAATAGATGATATTGTCTTGCCTAACATAGTGACATTTATCATAAATATGGATTAAATATTTAATTGGTAATATTTAATAAGTATACATTGGTAAGTATATTTGTGACAGTATTTTAGTTCCCCTAGTTACAGAAACCAAGCAGTTGCAATTGAGGTGGGACTTTCTGCAGTGAGTGTTTTATCAAAGTAATGGAGTGCACATCGAATTTGGCAGTTAGTGCTATGTGATAAAAGTGACTCTGTCACTATGATTGAAAAATTAAATGAGCCAGTCTGTAAAAAAAAGAGAAAGAAAATGAATGTTTAACTTTAGGGACAGAGATGTCCCATTAAGAAATAGTTTTTGCAGTAGGCAACTAAAATTAATTCATTCCAGACTTCTTTACAAGCCCAAAAGGAATCCAGATTGAGATGGTTTAAAGTGAATGTCAAGCCAGAAAAGTTTCTTTTTTTCTTTTTGGATGGAGTAGGGAAGGATCAGAGCGCCTGCAAGATGTAACTGCTATCCAAGGCTCTGTTGGAGAGACTTACCCTCACTTCTTGTCTCATTCACAACAGTTTTACCAGACAGGAAGTGGGGGGGGGGGGGATTTGCAACAGGGGCACAGACATAAATACAAATCCAACAGGGGCTCTAGACTTCCCCAACGCTGCTAAAAAAAAAGTATTTTATTTCTGTGTCGCTGTTGGAAAATTCCCATTTAAAATGTAGTTAGCAGGACAGGATGTAAAGGTGAAATCACTTAAACGAAACCCCAGATTGCAGAGAAAACCTGCCAGGTACACGTGACAGCATAGATTGAGAATAGATTGATAGGGTTTACTGATAGTCTGCAAACATCTGTTATGTGAAGTGGAGATACTCTGACTTGCACAGATTGGCTTACTCATCGTTACTATTCTCTAACCACATCCATAACTAAGATGTGCTCATGGTAAAATGTTTTTAAAATATTTAGTGATACCTTGGCAGTCCAGTTCCCTTGTGTAATTTTTCCAGAGGTGGATAAGGTGTGTGTGAATATTTGCCCATCATCTGGTATCCAAGGACCACATATTCCACCTTTTCCCTTTAAACACAAGCAAGTGACAAATGAATAATAAAACTTGATTAGAAAATAGTTGCATCATAAAGTAACGTGCACGTTCCTCTAAATGTTTCTGTCTTAAACAATTAAAATGTCAGCATGTCATTATATACCGCCTGGCCCAAAAAAAATAGATTAAATTACTGCACACATTGTTTTGATAAGCTTATGCAATGTCACAACATTTATTTCCACCCAGAGTTGCAAAAAAATATATATAGTGTATCTGCAGTATAAGTACCTGCATTTTTAATACAGCAGAGTTCAGAGTGGGGACTGGGACCCTATCAGATGAGTTGCATACAAATTTGCTGGAAAAGAACATGCTGATGAGGGAGCAGAATGATCTGAGGGGTAACTGTATCAGTCTCATTATGCTTTTTCACTGTCCAATCAGCAGGCAGGTGGCAGGGTGGCATCAGCGGGGTACTGCTTAGTTGTAGCAAAGAAAGTGGTGTAATTCACCTGGCCAGGGTCAAAACTAGGGTGAGCGAGGCAGACTTGTGCCACGGGCACCACTTTAGGAGAGGCACCGCCGGTAGGGTGAGCAACCAACTAGGGATGCACCGATACCAGGCATTTTCATGAGAACAAGTACTCATGAAATTCCCCGGTATCAGTGCATCCCTAGTCGGTTGCTCACCCTGCCGGTGGCGCCTACTCATAGTCATGAAAATCCCCCATTCTAATCGCTGACACTGGTGCTTTATATTTTTAACTGAAGTGGCTGTCTGAGGTCCCACACTTGCTGGGGACCTGGGCAGCCTCCCTGTCAACTACGTAGTGCCCACACATCTTCTCTTCCTTCTTGGGGAATACTGCCTCCTATGAGACCCTCCACACAGCCCTGGTGAGACTGTGTGGCTAGAAATCACTTAACTCAAGTCTCTCCTCCATGACAGATTAGACGGACCACCACCGGGAAAATAAAAGAGAGTCCAGAAGCAGCTCTTTAATTAGCAAAGCACTGGAGAATGAGGAAATTTGAAGCCTCCCCTTTGCAGTGGATAAGGAAGCGCCCAGAAGTGTGGTGTGGGGCAGTGACATGTGGTACCTCTTGCTCTGGGTGAGGCATTCCCCAGCCTCGCCCCCAGCACATTCCACTGGACAAACCCCCACTGGATGAAGCCCCGCCCCATGGGGGGTGAAGCTCTGCCCACTGCTGGACGAAGCCCCATCCCCAAGCTAGTGTAAAGGAGTAGGGGGGAGACAGGGAGGAGCCTTCCTGTCCCTCACTTGCTCCTCACTACTGAGGCGCTCCGTCCATGTCAGGTTACACAGCGGGGAGGATTTTCCTGCTGTGTAACCTGTTACATGGGGATCTGAATGGAGAAAAAGCTGTCAGCTTCAGACATGAAGCTGACAGCTTTTTCCTCCTTAATTCTAGGTGAGGCTCTGCCTCAACTCCCTCCCCTGACCGCACGTCCCTGGTGTGGGGGCAGAGGGGAGAACTTCTCCCGGGTGGGGGGAGCAACTCTAAGTCTTTGCCCTGGGTGACGGAATGTCTAGCTTCGCCATTGCACCTGGCTGTGCTGTGTAATGCGGCTGTGTTAATTTCATGACTTAATACACAGAAATACAAATACTTTTGCAGGGAGAACAGCTCTTATGTGTGTATTTAATTGTGTATTTAGTTGTTTACCTGGAGTTCAACTTTAAATACATACTTTTCATTTGACACAGAGGTTCAGTCAGGTACATGTTTCATAAGCGTAAACCATGCAATCAGGCTTTTGAAAAATAAAATAAAATTGCAAATGCCATTTTATGATAAATGACATAAATAAAAAATGTACATAATGATACAACATAAGCTTACGTTTGTAAGTAACGCTATAGGGTATAAATAAACAGTGTATATGCCAGTGCGTCTCTAGCATAGTGCTACGCCAGGTGTTGGCCTATTTTTACCAATCCACTCCATCATGTAGCAAGGTCTGTATACTTACCATGAAGGAAAGGGGACAGGAGTGGATGTTAGCATGATGGACACAGCAGTTTTCTCCATTTGCATCTTTCCAGTTGGTTGGACACTCTTGTTCCTCACAGAACCTTTTAGCAGACTCAGCATCTCTAAAGCATACACATAAAGAAATCATCCACATGATCACCTCATTATACGGTGCACTTTTAGCATTATTTGATTTCACATTTCTGCCTTACAAATAAAGGAAATCTTTCACTGCAAACAAAACAAAGCCCCCTGAGATTTCTTTTTACTTGCATCAACATTATTTTAATCAAGAGTGGGTTACTAATAATAGTTATATTGATACTGTACTTATAGAAAATTATATTTTGCATATCATGCCTGAGAAAGAAAGCCGATGTTCTTACATTCCCAGTCTACTGAGTTGCCAATAAATGGTATTATTGTAACTATACCATTTTTAGTAAATGTATTATAGTCATTGATGTTTTCTCTGAAGTTAAAGTGACACAAAACTCAGAAGTTAAAAATGCATTTAACTATTCACAAAGATGCACCTTAATTGTGTATCACTCAACTGTAGATTCCCAAATCATCTCTGAATCGGTGCTGACACTATCCTTCCTTCTGGAAGGTGGCTACTCCCGTGATGGTCTACAATCTCATATTAGTAAAAAAAAAAAAACATGAGATTGTAGTCCATCTTGGGAGTGAGTTTGGAGCGGTGGCTACTTGACAACATACACAGGGATCATGGGGAACAAAAGTAGCCACCCTCCAGAAGGAAGGACAGTGTCATTTTAAAGTAGACCTTTCAGATTCCTGACATGTCACAATATACAAAAACAGTATAATTTTTCAAAAAATCTTCAGGTTTGATTAATATCCCACAATATAGCCCAGTGGTTAGCACTTCTGCCTTACAGCACTGGTGGCCCCTGGTTCAGGTTTCCATGTTCTTCCTGTTCTTGTGTGGGTTTCTTCCAGTTTCCTCTCATACTCCAAAGACATGCTTTAAGGTAATTGCCTCCTGTCTAAATTGTCCCTGTTTGTATGTAAGATATGGATCTTAGATTGTAAGCTAGTTGATGGCAGTAGATTGTTGGCGCTATATAAATACCTGTAATAAATAAATAACTATTTTGCTGCCAGAGCATGTCATGACATATTTTAGGCTTGAAGATTAATTAAAAACCCCTGGAATTTTCTGAAAGCAGAGACCCTGGAGAATTAAATGATGGCAGTTGCAATTTGTTTTGTCACATGATATTAGTGAAATTGTTTATCAAACCCAAATTTTCAGTAAAAAACGCATTAACATTCATTTTAGTGCACACAAACATAATATACAGTGTGAAAATATTTATTTGATTATTTTGTAAGTTTGCCCACTTTCAAAGAAATGAAAGGTCAATATTTTTTATAATAGGTGTATTTTAAATGATAGAGACAGAGGGGTCTATTCACAAAGCTGCCGAGGGCAGCCGAGTGAATGACCGATCAGAAGTGAAGTGAGTCGAACACTGTTCGGCTATTCACTTCAGGCTGGTACGGCTGATTATGAGACGAAGTATGGGTGCTGAAGTGAACAACGACTTCAATTTGTCGAAGGCTTCTTGAGCTTGCAGGTTCCAACAGTATTGCGTCTTTGGACTGGTCAGTAGGGAGAGGGGTTTGACTACCATAGAGAAGTTTTTTACAAACTTTCTATAGAAGTTGGCGAACCCCAGAAACCTTCGTAGTGCCTTTCTATTTTTTGGTTGAGGCCATTTTAGGATGCATTCAACTTTCGCCTGATCCATTTCAATTCCTTTGGGGGATACTATGTACCCTAAGAACGGGATAGTATCCACCTCAAAGGTACACTTCTCTAACTTAGCGTAGAGCTTGTGTACCCTGAGTCAAGGCGGTTCCTCTACGGCTTATGATGGGGAAGCTGGCAGCTCTTTCTCCCCTTCGTTCTCGCAGACGTCTGTCCAGGGTGACCGCACGTTGGATGAGACCCTCCAGTGTAGTGGGTAACTCGGATCTTGCCAGTTCATCTTTTAGGGAGTCGGAGAGGCCGAGGCGGAATTGGCTCCTTAAACCAACCTCATTCCATTCCGTCTCCCTTGCCCATCTTTGAAATTCAGCTACGTACTCTTCGACGGCCCTGCGCCCTTGCTTCAGATTTCTGAGAGCGCCTTCGGCAGTCAGTTGCTTACTGGCGTCTTGGTAAAGCAGATCCATGGCCCCTATGAACTCCTCAAGAGAGTCCAGGATGGGATCATCCGTCTCTAGATAAGTATTTGCCCAGGATCTCGGTTCACCCTTCAGGTAGGAGATGAGAGTTCTTACTTTTACACGATCATTTGGGTATGTCCGGGGTTTAAGATCAAACATAATCTTGCATGAGTTGATGAAATCCCTGTATTGGGTTCTATCTCCTGAAAATCTCTCTGGAGAGCAGACAGTGGGTTCTGGGTTATCTCTGGCCCTGCCAGCTCCCTCCCGTTGGTCCTCTAGGCGATTACGCAATCTGTGGTTCTCGATTTGTAGGTCTGCTACCTTGGTAGTGAGGTCTTCAAGGCGGTTATTAACGTTGAACAGGTGGGCGGCCAACTCCGCTGGATCCATTACGGGTTCTAGTATTATGTAACGATCGGATTATACCGAGGGATCTCAGCTGCGGAGAGTATGGTAATACCTGGTTTAGATTTGGCTCAGCCCAAGGGTTCACTTCACACTCTGTATGGGTTGGAGTGATGGTGGAACCCTCTAATACATCATATGCCAATCTATGGGTACCCTAAGGCAGTTCAGACTTTAGGAAGATAAGTAACCTGAACAGAGGGGAGTGGAACTGTTTATCACTTTAGTTCAGGAGTTATGTTACCCACTAATGCACTATGAAAGGATTCAGAATATGAGCTGAAGTCCTGCAGTACCTCTATATCACCACATACAGTTAGGCAGACTAGAATGGCAGTATAACATACACAGTCACTTCAAATCCCCAGACGACACATTCAATGATAGATTGAATCAGGCAGGGTTACTTGCGATTGGAAGAGGAGACTCCCACTGGATGTTCCCAGTTAGCTGCACATCAAGTGCCAGAAATGGACGGGTGCACCCAGCAGGAGGGAGATCCAGCATAAGCGAGGTACTTCCTGAACATCCGCCTCTAGATAAGTATTTGCCCAGGATCTCGGTTCACCCTTCAGGTAGGAGATGAGAGTTCTTACTTTTACACGATCATTTGGGTATGTCCGGGGTTTAAGATCAAACATAATCTTACATGAGTTGATGAAATCCCTGTATTGGGTTCTATCTCCTGAAAATCTCTCTGGAGAGCAGACAGTGGGTTCTGGGTTATCTCTGGCCCTGCCAGCTCCCTCCCGTTGGTCCTCTAGGCGATTACGCAATCTGTGGTTCTCAATTTGTAGGTCTGCTACCTTGGTAGTGAGGTCTTCAAGGCGGTTATTAACGTTGAACAGGTGGGCGGCCAACTCCGCTGGATCCATTTCGGGTTCTAGTATTATGTAACGATCGGATTATACCGAGGGATCTCAGCTGCGGAGAGTATGGTAATACCTGGTTTAGATTTGGCTCAGCCCAAGGGTTCACTTCACACTCTGTATGGGTTGGAGTGATGGTGGAACCCTCTAATACATCATATGCCAATCTATGGGTACCCTAGGCAGTTTCAGACTTTAGGAGAATAAGTAACCTCAACAGAGGGGAGTGGACTGTTTAGCACTTTAGTTAAGGAGTTATGTTACCCACTAATGAGCTATGAAAGGATTCAGAATATGAGTTGAAGTCCTGCAGTACCTCTAACTCACCACATACAGTTAGGCAGACTAGAATGGCAGTATAACATAAACAGTCACTTCAAATCCCCAGACGACACATTCAATGATAGATTGAATCAGGCAGGGTTACTTGCGATTGGAAGAGGAGACTCCCACTGGATGTTCCCAGTTAGCTGCACATCAAGTGCCAGAAATGGACGGGTGCACCCGGCAGGAGGGAGATCCAGCATAAGCGAGGTACTTCCTGACGTGATTGCACGGTTCAGTCCTGGTGGGTGAAGGTCCTTGTGAGGGGGTTCGTTAGAGAGTTGCAATGGCCCGACGCTAACAATACTAGAACGCCGAGGCATTGCAACTCGTGCTGTTTTAAGGGCTCTGAGTGATAATGTGAGCGGAGTCACGAGCGGCGGCCGCGTCTCCTAGTGACGTCATGCCGCAGCATCGAGAGGCCGGCCCGCGGCCCAAAACGGCGTATACGAGAGATCCCGTTACAGGAAGGGACCTTGTGTGACCCCAAAACATTGATTGTATATGCATGAGACACTATGTAAATAAATCTGTACTGATTATTCTCACTACTTTGGAGTTCTGGGGACTTTTCTTCTGCATTCTGCATGTAGGGGTGAGGGTTTGGCGTTTTTTTATATGTTATTATAATTTTTTTTACTTAACTTTGTTGCTGTTTCTCAGGGGCTTATAGCAAGAAGGACCCTAGACCCTTCTTTAGCCATACACTTCCACATCTCTTATCACCACTAACAGAATTATAACCATGCTGAAAAAAAAAGAATTATATGAATACCTGTGTGGCAGAATGCCCTTTCTTATTGCAAACTGATAAAATTCATCAGACGCTGAAACAGAGTAGGTGACATCAAAGTGTTCTCCGATGTATGCCCTCCCAGGAGGCCTATGCACCCATGCCATCTCGAGACCTGAAGAACATATTACATAAACCAAATATACATTAAGAGATGTATCAGTAACTGCTGCATGTTTTATGCACAGATATCTAATCTCTGTTTCTTGATAACAGCCTTCTAGTGCAAATGGTCAGTACATTAAAGTAGATCTACACCCTAGCTGACATCTAGTTTGTCAATGCAATAGGGTTTGGGCACTATGTTCAGGTTTCACAAATTTTTTCAATTGTCCAGTGAACTTTTGCTCAGTTCATTCATCACTAAGCACAACTACTATTGTGAGACAGTTATCACCCCATAACAGGAAGTGCCTGAACAAATGAAGGGATCATGCAGTATTATTTGTATGAAAGGGACAGATTTAAAAAAAAATGAAAACAACTTTTGAAATGACATTAAAATGTTACAGCATATATGGTATTTAAGTGATCAGGGTTTGACTATAATAAAGAATCAATAAATAAACGTAGTTAATATACTTACCTTACCCCATCTTCCATTCTGCAAAGGGTGAGGGTGACGTTGTCAACCTTCTGACAAGATTCCAGGGAAAATCATGTGAGATAAGCTCTGAAGCTCCAGGCACAGTACAGGAGGTTCTACTCATGAGATTTAGGGTACTTTCCTAGGATCTTGTTGGAAGGATGTTGTCTTCACCCTTAACGAGGCGCCACAGACTGAAATGGGGGTAAGGTATGTATTTTAACTAACATTTTCTACTCGCAGTTTTTTTTTCCTAGTGCAGCATTTTGGCATGGAAGTCAGGGCCCTCTGGAAATAGGGACTTTCTATAATAGGATGACAACACTCTGTCCCTATCTCCCAATTGTGCTCTTGTTGTCACATGGTGGCCCAGTATTTCGATGAAGACAACAAGTGGCCCTTTGATCACACAAAACCTTGGCATGGCCTATGGTTGACACCACCAGGAATCCCACCATGAGAAATGCCATGCAGCCATTGCTGGAGTGCATGTATGTAGACAGGAATTGACTGCAAAGAGGTGACAGGAGATAAACAGCACTGAGAACAAAGGATGAAAGAAAAAGGTGTAAACAAGGGTTTATTAAAAAACAGTAAAGGGGACATACATTGGGTATTAAGTCATGGCTTCAAATTGTGCCAACATTGCTAGAATTGTTATACTGTATGACTCCAAATCTAAAGATTCATCTACAGTTGCAAATAATATATCATATGTCCAACCCAACAAAAAACACCAAATAAATGATCACACCATCCTATCATAAAGACATACTGGAGTTGGTTTACTAAAAGCAAATAGGCTGTTCACTTTCAAGGCAATTTATATTTTACAATAGATCTGAATATATAGAATGAGGTGAAGCTTTGTTGACTACCATCAACCAGTCGTGTTGGCACTTTGGGGTAAATAAATTAATTTTGCTTTGCAGTTTGGGCACTCTGGCTCAAAAACATTCGCCATCACTGCTCTAAGCTAATGGGAAATTCCCTTTGCAAAGTGCAAATTCCCTTGCAACGTGATAAGCCTATTTTCTCAGCTACATTTAATTAATAAAGAAGAGACATCAATTCCTGCCTCAAAGAGACTACAACAAACAGAGCACATAATGCAGCAAGCTCTCAGACGGAATTAAGAAATATTGGCGCAGGCATAAGCCACTGCCACTCTTCTACGGAGTACTGGAGGAGGTCAGGCTCCCAAGCAACCCCCTCCCCCCACTTTCCTGCTCAGCTTAGAGGAAGGGGGTTTGGAGGAGCTTTTCAATGCCTATATGCAAGCTTTGCCCATGAAGTGCACTCACTATCCAGACAAAGAGAGGCATGTGAGGTGTCTGTCAGGTTTTCAGCAATCAGTTTACATCTCATTCGCCAGGCCCAATCTGGCAAGGATCTGCGGCTGTGTTCTATATTGAAAACTGCTGCAATCTCTTAATTAGGCACAGAGCACGCGCCAGTCTCAATTTCAGAAATAGAAACTAGCATGGGTGATACACATAGACTTGAAACAAGTCTATCTGCTTTGTCAATGTGTTGCACACCACAAGCTCTAGAGTAGCACTGCGGCAGTATGAAGCCCAACCGCTTCTTAATTACGCATCTGTTTAGAGTGAAAATATGCCTCATCTCCAGTGATAAATCTGTCTTAGACTGTTGCAAATCTGATGCAGATGGCTGGGCAGGAATACAGGTGCAGGGTCACAAATACATGCTAAAACTGTTGCAGAGACTTTGCTAAGTGAGTGACAGCATGATTTGTGTGTGTCCAACTATTTTGCAAATGTGCATGATACATGTGCCCCTGTGTCTCTTCCTAATACTAGCTGTACCTCCCAAAACAGGACTTCTCCACGTAGAAATAAAAAAACAAACAAAAAACACTTATGCAGTGAAGTCTTTTACATTAAAAAAACTGTCAGAATCAGGGTGGTACATAGACTTTATCCACCACCACTCTGCTGATCAGCCATCTGTCACAACTGAAACACTTTTGCTTAGACCTTAGCACCTTTTTAATATTATTTACATCAATTTTTGGGGCATATCTAGAAAATCTTTGAAAAGACTTTACATTCCCCTTAATTGCTGTCCAACATGGCATTTTACCGTTTGTTAGAACTGCTATTAATATACCTTCCAATGTGGTTTAAACTCAGTCGAAGAGCATGGATTTCTTTAGCTTGACCAAAATATCTCTCAAGACTTGAAACAATAAAAATCAATAGAAACCTAAAAAGAAAGTTCATCTGCAGTTACCATTTATTGTTTTCTCCCAAACGTGTGTTATTGTGAAATCGATTGATCTATGGGACATAAGTATGTACTGTTAAATGTACCCATATCCAGCTATATATTATTTCTTATCGGTGAGGCTATTTATAAAATTGGTCAAACCTATCACATTAGGCAGCAATCCATTCAGCAGAAGAATGTGTTTGTCTCCTAGCACTTAAATAGTCTTATATTCATGTGTATCCTTTGCATATGCAATATAAATAGGCTTTAAAGAATGGTACTAGCTTATCTCTTTATTGATAGCAGAGGTCAATGGAGAATAGGATAAATTCACATCCTGTTTAAATGTTTCACTATTACTGGCATCCTAAGTTTATCTACTGACATTTTTCCTGCTCCCATGGGGGTAACATAAGCATATGACATAACACATATCTTAATTATTTACCTACAGCTGCATTAGCTTTCTTGAATTGTAAGGTGCGCTTGATGACATGTGCAATTAAGAGCAAAATAATCTAAAGTGATTCTCCGAAGATGGTTAAATACCAGTTGGCAGAGGTAACCAAGAACTTCAGATGATGCCTAATTCCTGTTTTAATTGGAGGTTCTGGTTAAGCCATTGTGCTGAAAGAACTCTGACCGTATATGTATGTAGCCTGCTTGTGGGGATGTGCAATAGTGTCAGACATAGGCACAGCCTATTACATTATATATGTATATATATATATATATATATACATACATACATATATACTTGGTGTGGCTGAAACATCTTCAAAAATCCTAACTAAGTCCATCTGAATGTGCACAACTACTACTTAGCTATACCATGGCCTGGTTAAATTAAAATCTTTACAGAAATGTTTTTCAATTGGTTTCTGAGGCCGGACTAAACCTGCATGACACTTCTTGCATTTAAAATTAATGAGCTTCTGAAGCTAAGCAGTAGCATTAAACTTTCTTTAACTCTCAAGGGTTTAGCAAAACTGGTAAGAGTTGGCTGCAGGGCTTTAAGCCAGATACTCCTGCCTCAGCACCAGAGAGGCATGGGGTGAGGCCTTCCAACTTCTTTATAAATCTAGCATTCAGGAAGACAGGGGTTCTGCGGTGAATGGAAAGACATGGATATTTACTGGGACTGAAGTCTGCAGCAACAAACATTGGAAGCCAAGGACTGTCTTTGGGAATCAGGGACTAATGACAACTGCAGATGATTTACAGATTGTATTATTAGCTAAAAATAAACTATAGCATATAAACTATATGCTAATTTTGTATCATTAAAGCTTAACACCTTTGCTCTGATCGTGGGTCTATCCAAGCCAATTAAATTGTATACCTGGCAGGAAGGTGACATTGTTCTGATGATCTATTTCATCCATCATGCCAGGACTTTCAGTTCACTCTTGTTCCTGCTATCAACTGATGCAGAAAAAAACATTTGATGGGGCTGCTTTTCAGTGCAAGTACTAGTTAGTCACAAAAATGATGCATTGGGTACATGCCCAGTACTGCATCCTTCTGCCTGGGTTCAGTCAATGCTGTCCTATCACCATCAATTTCTGTATGCATTGATACACGGCAGGGTTGCTTTTTATCATATTTAGGATTTTCCTGAAAAGCTTTCTCTTTATTAGAAGAAACAACCCCGATATGAAAGATTACGAATCAGCTAGCCACATATGCAGATGACATCCGATTTTATATTACACAGCTGCATACTACTCTACTAGCACATATGCAGGAATATCAAACGTTTGAAACCTGCAACATTAGTGTTCCTAGTCATAAATCTGTGACTAGGTAAAAAGATGTGACTATATAAAGTGGTTTTATGCTTATATATTATAATTATTATACTTTTTCTACTTAATTTATAATGGCCAGGACTAAACAAATATTTTTTTTTGGCCCTACCCCAGGCTGCCCTCCCTGCAGGGCTCGGCCATGTCACTCTTGGCCACTAGGCAGAGTCAGGGCTCACTCTGTGCAACGGCTCCTCTGTGTGCCGTCTTCGTCATCTTCTCGGCCAACCAATTGGACAGGCTGCTGTACCCAGCTCACAATCCGATTGGAGGAGGGACAAAAGGGGGCAGGAAGGTCCAGCCAATAGAAGGAGAGAGGCTGAAAGACTGGCCAATCATTGCTCTCTTATGCAAGGTAGGCATGTAGGCATGCAATAGCCAATAGCAAACTAGCTATTGTACCCGCCCTCTGCTGCTGTCAATCAGTAGTGGTGGACCTGATGGAGAACTGCAGCAGAGGGCGGGTGCAATGCTAGTTTGCTATTGGCTATTGCAAATTGAAATAGCCAAAAGGAATCTAGCAATGCATTCCTATGGCCAAAATGTTTTTTTTTTTCTATTCTGACACGGCTCCATGTCAGAATAAAGAAACCGAAGTGGTCCTGGGGCCGAAGCTAGCCGAAGGATCGCCGAAGCTATGGCTAGATCCTTCGGCTGCTTCGTGAATAGACCCCATATAGTGATTGCGACAGGTGGATGAGAAGAATCTCTATCATTTAAGATTCAGCTCACATACATTTACTCAACACCTAAAACATCAGGATACGTTTTTGTTAAATAGAATACTATATAGGGAGTATAAGTTTGTCCAACCAAAAGCATTGCAAAACACAGAGAAAGCGAAAAGAGAATGGTGCTAGAGAACAGGACACATTAAACTAGAAGGGAAAGGACACAGAGTGGGGAACAGGAGCAGACAAAATATGGAGCAGATTTGCAAAGCAACCAATCACCTTCTCTGTCTCATTTGCAAATCTTACTTGAGCAAACTGAAGAGAAATGCTGATTGGTTGCCATGGGCAACTGCTCCAGATTCTGTCTTTCAGATTCTGAGAGTCAATGTAATTAACCCTTTCGCTGCCAAGGACGTATGGCATATGGACCTACAAAAGTGCTTCCAGCTGGCCAGCTCAGTATGCCGTACGGACCTGGCATTTACAGTTCTACTATATGGATACTGAAGAAGTGCAAAAAAGGAAACAGCGAGGGGGACAGATAGATACACAAAAAGAAACAGAGCAACCTGTTATACACGACTGGACTTTAAGCAAAAACTGTAATCTTTTACTGATTCTTTCAATATACGTATGAGACATAATATTGATAGCGTTGTTTTTATGAATAGTTTATACATATTTATATACAAAAGAGCAGTCATTATACTCATTACATATGCAGGCTCTGCTTCCTGCGTAGTAGTTAGCATGCACGCCTTTACGGAGGTTTTAGGCTACAGAAGGCAACAAAAAGATACCTTTTGTTACAATAACAATAATAATAATAATAATCCCTGATTCACGTGAAGTTTTAATTTTAATGATTATTGCCATTTAATTCCCTCTTTTGGGCTCTATGCCATCTCTTATCCCTGAATGTGGAAGGCAGATATTGCAACAGATACAGTGTAAATATATAATTATCATGCAGATCATGTAGGAATCATAGATATTTGTAATATCAACATATTGTAGCACAACCAATAGAACGTAGTGCATATTGTAACATCTCACTTTTATTAGAGAGCAGATCATATGCTCTGCCTAGCTTCATTGTGCAGCATCAGCATCTCTTGCTCCATCATGCATATTGCAGCCTTACCTCCACAATCTATCATATTTACTTCATCAGGCTTCTCCAGAGGCCAGCAGTCATACTCTGTGTTATCCAAGTCATGCCAGCTTTCAGTTACTTCCAATGTAAAGAGCTAAAGTGGAAATAAATGCCTCTATTAAATCAGAAGAAAAATCTAGACAAAATATGTTTCTCTGGATATTATCCACAAATTAAACATTTGCAGATACATCAGATTTCAGCGTTCCCTTAGGTATATTACTGCGAGATTTGTTGTAGTAATCTGTGTTTTCACTAACTTCAAGCTCTAGAAAAACTGTTACATTTCACATTAAATTAGGTTGGTTTTTTTTAATGAATCAGGATACATTGAATAAATGAAAGAAGTTTTGCCAATTAACTTGTATATCCTGTACATAAAAACATTTATACATACAGACAAGTAGTTGGTGCACGGAACAATAATATGTATATATACCTACCATTAAACTGCCAATTAGATGCAACAGAAAAAGAAATGATTTGAAGCCTTTCATAGTAGAACAGATTATTACATCCCAGATTCTAGATATTTACTTTGGGATCCTGGGGGAGCTCTTTAGTAATGATGCTGTGCCTGAGATACAAAGCCAGATGTGATGCTGTTCTTGCTCTTGCTGCTCTAATTTCTCCCTTAGGACTGGCTATTGGATGGTACAAAAAAGAAAGTTGGATGTGCTCAGCTGTAAAATCAATTACTTTCAAAGAAGTACATTTCATTGTATCATTCAACATGAGCGCCATCTAGAGGATATAAACTGAAATGCAGTGTTCATGGAAAGGAACAGACTATTTTATTAGTTTTGAACAGGGTAGAAGATGGTTAGAACTAACAGGTTTTTGTTGCTGTCTTTGACTAAAGGTGGGGAGATTTATTTTGTGATAACAGGACAAAAAAAAAAGAGTGGAATAGGGTCATCCGGCAGGACAACACAATCAGCAATAAAACCTGACTGAGGTTCTAATACAAACAAACAATGCTAAATGGGTCTTTCAAGGTGTCATCTTCAGAATGTAAAGGGACACAACCAAACATATAATGACACATAAATCACATGTTTTAAATTTATTGAAATGACATCCCATTTTAAAAGTACATATAACACATACACATGTAAAAGTATCCATTCACGTTAAGAACATATCCAGATAACAGACAATGTTAGATATACCACACAACACATCTCCCTGGACCTCATACAGATACAGTGAGGGGAATTTATGAAAACTGGAGCAGACAAAATCTGGCGTAGCTGTGCATGGAAACCAATCAGCATCCACCTTTCATTTTCAAAGCTTAACTGAACAGACTGAATAGAGAAGCCGACTGGTTGCCATAGGCACCTGTTCTCTTCCATTATATATATAATCAACTCAATACACTATGTATCATGAATTGCCTCATGACAGTACATTTAACATATTCATTAATAATCATACTAATCATTAGGTCACATATAATTGTGTAATTGGTCCAGCCTTCTACGCATTTCGCCGAAGCTTCTTCTAGAAGATCGGAGGCAGTCATTTTCTGGAAACTTAGTGGTGAATAAGTCCACATATCTGGGGAGCATCCCTCGTCGCCTAGGAGACAGAGAGGGTGGAGAATATATAAGGGCGACAAGGCAGGAGCAGCATGGTGCCCATCCACGTGTACCTATATGTAATCAAAGTAAATCACACACTTGGAACCAGCTTCTCCTACCCGAGCCAGCCATGTTTTTCCCGCGGCACCATCACACGCTGCCTAAAGCTATCAGCATTTGACATACTGTATGTGGCCTGGGCTTCTGAGGTTCTAATCTTTCCCTACTGATTTTGTGGCCGTCTCTGCCACCATTGGAGAGCTTTCACATCACCCCCTGTCCCTCTGACTCCCTGCCACAGAACCAGGAAGTAGGAGTATATTTCCCTAGTGGGGACACCAATGGTAATAGAAGATGCAACCCTACCCCTCTCTATCCTAAATAAAAAAAGGTTTTGACTCAAGTTGGGCTTTCAAAAAGGTCACTCTCCAGAGCTATGATCCTTATGTTTGCTCCACTACTTAGTAAGTCACTTACTAGGTACTTTTATATTTATTTTGGTATCTTGACACTATACTGTCTGCATACTTATCCGAGGTTCTTGACTGAATAAATAGCATTGATGACAAAGACAGCCCTACAGCCTACCCTGTCAGTAATGACAGCTCCCACATTTATATCTAAACATATTTATTTTATGCACAATACTATAGCAAGCTATACATGCTTCGAATTTGGTCTGGTTCCTACTGAACTGGCCGAAATATGATGTGTGGGTGCCACTGTCGGCGCACATCATACCTCAATCAGCTGATCAAAGTAGCAGATCAGAAAATTCTCAGCAGAATAGACTTACCAGCTCCGTTCATGTATTCTGACAACAGCAGGTGGCTCAAATACAAAGGAAACAGCGTAAGTATTGATGGAAGTATTGATGGAAGATTCAGTTTTTTTTCATTCAGCCTGCAGGTTGAACAAAAAAAATAGAATTGTGTATACCCATTTTAATAAGCCATATACACAACTTCCAGTAACCTATTTAGGCAAAAGCCACATACACAGAAGTAGACAGTATAAAAAAAAAATTATACTTTTTAAAAATGGGACAGCTCAAGGTATTTAGTAAGGGGCATGGTGATTATTTTTAGGGTTCTAATTTTTGCCACAACGTTTTGGAAAATAAAGTAAATTAACTTTTTTTCACAAAGTTGTTATTTGAATAAGATATTTCTCACAGAGCATGGGCATACTTAGAATTGCACCCCAAAACACATTGTGCTTCCTTTCTGGCAATATTATCAGGGCCGTCTTTACCGCAGGGCAAAAGGAGCAACTGCCCTGGGCCCCATAATTTAGAGGGGCCCACAGCAGCTGGCCCTTTCACCCACAGCGGCAGGCAGAAAAGCAGCAGCACCGCTGGTGGCAGAGGTGGACTAAGCCAGTGGACTGCCGGTGTGTTGACAGCCAAGGCCAGCATCGGTAGAGAGGAGGAGCTGAGCGGCCGGACGATGGAGGAGCCCCCACCGATTAGAGAGTGCTGGGAGCAGATGGAGCTGTGCTAATCTCTGACCATTGAATGCTGCTCCAGAGACCAGAGCACCTGGCCGGCAGAGGATAAAGAGGTGCACAGCACAACTTGTTTGGACTTTTAGAGATTTTTTATAATATTTCTTTGTGTTATATGAATTAGCAATTATCACATAGCACTTTAGATAGAGTTTGCATAGCCCCACAATAAACATTAGTTCTTTGACAACTATTGATGTATGTTTACATTTAAAGTGCTGGTAGGCTTTAGTTTATAATAGGGGATTGATACACTGCCGCAGAAGTATTATACAGATTCCGTTGAATTTAACAATCACAAAAAAATATTGTGTGTGTGTACCGTGACGTCACTGTACTCCTCCCCCTTCCCTTCGTTACCTGATGGAGCCGCTTGGGCCGGTGAGTACACATCCCAACTCTCCCGGCCGCCCGGGAGAGAAACACTTTTTACCGGAAAGGTTTAATCTGCTCAATTGAGCAGATTAAACCTTTCTCTGCGACCTTTTTTTTTTTCTTTCTTTTCTGACATCGGGAGCATCAGCCTGACCGTCAGTCAGAAAAGAAAAAAAAGGCATAAGAATGCATAGCTAGATTCCTATTGGCTATTACACTTTACAATAAGATGGCACCTCCCTGAAATGAGAGGGACACTGCCCTGAAATTGTTTATTTCAGGTTGGGGTCCCTGGCATTGGCCTTTACACATACAGCACAGCAATAAAGTAATAAAATGAACTAGGATCACACTAATCCAGCACGTTATTATTCTGAGTTGCCCCACTCAAGCGGCGGCCATATTGAGTGGGGCACGTGAGATTAATAACGTGCTGGATTAGTGTGATCCTTGTTCATTTTATTACTTCATTGCTGTGCTGTATGTGTATAGGCCAATGTAGTTGGATCTGCATGTGCGTTATAATTAATCGAAATTAATCGATTCATCGATTTAAAAAAAATTTGATTAATCGAACAGGAAAATTTTAATCATTACCAGCCCTCATATATATAGTTCATCTGTACAATTGACATTACAGGAACTTTCTGTTTTGACTAGAGGGTTGGGGTTCTCTCCCACAGCATGATTGGATTCTTTTTGTCTGAAATGAATGGTCAACAGGGCTGAAAACATTGTTAGTACTTGCTACTATGCTACTTGCACACAAGTTACAATATGTAAAAAAAAACAAGTTATAAAAATATTTGAAACTGAAAAAGTGTGGCACCTATATAATTTGCACTGGTGAAGGTGTTTATTAAGAATGTAGAGAAATACATTGATAGATTATTACAGGGTATGCCAACAGATTATACTCCAAACAATTTAACTAAAAGTAGCATTGCGATCCTTGTCTGCAAGGCAAGACATCATCATGAAGCCTGCAGTCACGGATGGCTCTATAGTAGTTATGGAAAGGGATTTTGATGAAAAGCAGATTGTGAGACAACTTTTGGTTGAGAAATTATATTAAAAAAATGAAAGGCTAATACAATTTTTGAGATACAAATGAAGAATGAATAGGTGTTTTTTTGATTAAGGAGCATGCTTTCGCTCCAGCTATAGTTATGTACTGTCCAAGGTACATAAAGATCCAAAACAGACAGTAGTCCCCCAGCGTTGACTTGGTTTATCACCATTCTAGAAGTTATACGATAGGGTGGTGACTCCCTTGATTAGTAGTGTACGTTCTTAAGGGACACTGGTGACTTTTTGGGTAAAATTAAATATATAAGGGACCCAGGTGATGTGATTTAGGTCCTGGGACATTTCAACTTTATATACATTGATCGATCATCCTTTAGGAATAGAGAATACAGTATTGGAAAGAACAGAGAAATATACAGCAATTCAAAAACAGTTCATTGTCGATATACTGCATTTGAGTTTAGAAAGTAATTATTTTTTGCTTAGGACTGATATTATTTAGAATTGTGGGGAGTTGTAATGGGTTCCAATGCAGCTGTGCCTAATGCTAAGGCATTTATAATTCTGGGTGGAGGAGAGATTAATCTACCCCCATCCTTTTTTGAGAAATATTGCCGTATGCAGGGTCATTTCGTAGAGGACATGTTTGCCATTTGGTGTGGCAGCATGTTGGCTTTGCAATAATTATATGATGAGTTGAATTTGATTGTGGCAGACTTACAGTTTAATATGCAATTTAGTACAGAACCTTTTCTTTATACTATGATATCTGTTTGTAATGGTAAATTGAACAGTGACTTGTATATAAAACCAATGGCTAGAAACAATAGCCATCATCCACCCAGCATCTTTAGACCTATCCCCAGGGCACAGTTTAGGAGAGTAGCTAGGATAGTGAGTGATCTAGAGGAATGTACAGAAGGACTGAAGGAGAGAAATCGTAGTCAGAAATGTAACCACTTGCTGCCCAGAGACATTTCTTACTATTTGCACACGCATGATAAAATCTGAATTTTTGTCTAGAAAACAGCTTCAGACCCCCCCCAAATAATGATATATTTTCTGAAAGCAGAGGCCCTGTAGAATAACAAAAATGCTAGTTGCAATTTTTTATGTTGCATGGTATTTGAACAAATGTTTATAAAACCAGTATTTTTTGGATAAAATACACAAAAATTAGGGCTGCAGCTAACGATTATTTTCATAATCGATTAGTTACCCCATAATTTTTCAACTAATCGATTGGTTGTATTAAAAAAATCTCTCTCTCTCTCCTGAACCAACTTATCGATGATGAGAATAGTTGCCAGCTATTCTCATAATTGATTATTATCGCCTTAATCGATTAGTTGTTGCAGCCCTAACTTTGGATAAATAGATACCAAACATGTCAAGCCTTAAAATTGTGTTTGCCTGTGAAACCGCAAAAAACTACAATACCCAAAATTTACCATAGGGGACACTTTAAAAGCTTGTACTGCTCATCATTTTAGCATTAACTGTGATTGATGGCCCTAGAATTATCACTCCGATGTTTGTGGCGATATGCAACACGTGTAGCACAATTTTTATTTTTGGCGATGTGTGTTTACATATGAATGTGCGTGAAAAAAGAAAAAAAATTATTTGCATTGTTTTCATTTTTTTATGATACTTTTATAATTTTATATTTTAAACACTTTTTTTAATACTAACTTTATTGCTATCATATAGGAGGATAATAATCCCCCCATGTAATAGCAAATAGGCTGTGACAGGTCCTCTTTATGGAGACTTCAGTGGCCCTCATGTCACGTAGGGACCGCAAAGAAGCTGAGGAAGCAGAGATCTGCTTCCCCAGCTTCTTCTCCTGGCTCTAAGGGCTGGAGAATGTAAACAGTGACAACGGAAGTGATGTAATACACATCACTTCCAGGTCTAGTGATCGGAGGAGAGATCAGTGTGTGGAAGCCTGCTGATCTCTCCGATCATTGCGGAGAGACTTGCTGTGCCAGTCTTTGGCCCGCACGGGGGGTTAGTGGAGTCTGGGGGACAGCGGAGCCCAGGGAAGCCGGTGGCGGCAGATGGGGGGAGCACATTTCCGCCAAACGGTACAAACGATCCGGTGGCTGTATAGATGCCAGATCACTTGTATCTTAACAGCCATCACCCGCTGTTTAAAATGAGACCAAGAGCAGCTGTGTTCTTGATATCACCACTTATGTAGCCGGTCATATATGTATGGCCACCCACAGCAAGTGGTTAACAGCATATGCATTGCTATATGACGTTTAGCTTCTCTCAAAGGTAATTGTGATGATCCTTTGGCAATGGCTTACTGAGTGCGTCCACAGTCTAACATGGAACTTGACGTATTCATTGTGAGTTCCACTTCTTGTTCTGACTCCTGTGCGGCTTCACTTTGCTCAGCTTCTTTTGCTGGTTCAATGGAGGAATTCACTTCACAAATTCCCAGGATCATTGTTTCTGGTGATGGATTCTCATAAAAAATAAACGCTGCTACTTATTGTCAGTCTTTGGGTTTTGGATTTTATATCCTTTACTTTGTTCACTATAGCCCACCAGAATACCTTCTATGGCTGTGTTCTCTAACTTGGATTGCTTCTCCTTTGGAATGTATGCGTAAGCTTTACATCCAAATACTCTGATGTGTCCTAGGCTAGGCTTTGACCCATGCCACATTTCAAATGGGGTGCTTTCAACAGCTTTTGATGGTTGTCTGTTCTGTAGGTATGTTGCAGTCATGACTGCTTCTCCCCAGTACTTCCTAGGCAGGTTGGCGTCTGACAGCATCCATCTGGCCAATTCTATAAGAGTGCGATTTTTCCATTCTGCTACACCATTTTGTTCAGGAGTGTATGGTGTGGTGGTCTGGTGTACTAAACCTTGTTTCTTCAAATATGATTCCACTTGCTTACTGATGTATTCCCCTCTATTGTCGGTGCAAATAATTCCTTGTTTCTGTTGGAATTTGTTGCTGGACATGGCTACAAACTCTTTAAGTTTTTCGGAAGTTTAATTCTTGTGCTTCATAAGATAAGTTGTTGTGTACCTGGAATAATCATCAATGAAAGTCAGTAGATCAATGTTCCCACCTGATGCAGGAGTTTTCATTTGTCCGCATATGTCACGGTGTATGAGCTCCATGGGGTGGGTGGTCTTTCTTTGTGTGGTCTGTGGAAGTGGGGTACGTGTGGCCTTTGCTTCCATACAGCATTTCCATGCCCCAAGAATTTGGCAGGGCAGTACAGTTATATCTTCTGATAAGACTCTCTTTATAATGTATTTTATAGGTTCTGGGTTTCAGTGCCCTAGTGGTCTGTGTTATAGATGGATACATTTGTTGTGTGGATTATGAGTGGCTGTCTTGACTTGTTTGTCTGCAGTGATGAGTCTGTATCATTCATCCAATTTTCCTTTTACTAAAGGCAATCAGGCTATTCACTAGTGATGACCTCGGGATTGGACCAGGTTCTGAGCTCTTCCAAATCCTGAAGGAGTTACTCACGATCATGGAAGGAAGCTCCATCCACGCTGCCCAATCAGCTGTGGGTGGGAAATTCCCGCCAACAAAGGGGTGGGGTGCTGTGATGTCATTGACCTTATATGGCTACATGACTATATTAGGCAGATTATTTTTACCTTATATGGCCATGTGGCCATATAAGGCAAATTAAGTCAGTACAAGCATCCCATCCCTTTGGTTATGGTCAGGTGTGAGGTGGGGAATGCCCTGAATTGCAGCTGATTGGGCAGGAGGCCCATGGCACTTCTGTGTTTGAATGAGCTCAGGTTCGGATCGGGTTTGGTCCAAACCAGAGCTCATCCCTACTAATCACTGTGCAAGATAATTTTCCCTTGGTTAAGTGAATTTGCTGAAGCTCTGCTGACTTCTATCACCCAATCATGTGCAAGTAAAAATACTGTATTTTTTTTTTTCATTTTCCTTGCATGTGATTGGGTATTCTTAGTGTAGCCACACTGCTACACTAAATTTAGCTGCTGCAAACTGTAGTAAGTATGATCCTGATTTGATAGTCTGCACTTATTGTTTTCTTCTAACCCACCTGTTATTGTTTGCATACCTGCTGCTGGGTGTAACCTTGAGCATCCAATGTGGTGCTATAAGTGTCTGTGTCTCCATAACCAATCACTAGGAAGTTCATGGCCAGTGGTGCATGCTGGTGGAGGACATAAATATTCAGGCTGACCAGGTGAGAGTCTCTTTCCCCCCTGGGCCTCCTGTCTGGGGTTGCTGTGGTTTTTCTGACCCTTCTAAGTCTGCTGCCTAGGAAGGGAAGCCATGTGCTCAGACTGAGATCTGGGTCTGAGCATCAGTCAGTGAAGCTGAGGATGGAGATGACAGAGAGCAACTTCAGCTAGTATGGGGAGCCTGAAAAGCTGATCTTCTGCTGCATCATGGTGATCTTCCCAATACCGGAACTTCTGGTCAGAAGGAGATTTCCTCTGACCAGCAGTACCGCAAAGGAACATGGAGCTGGCTTATGGCCAATCAGAAAGCCAGCTGGCAGGTAATGACTCGCCGCCCGGCTTCCTGATTGGCTAGGAAGCCGGCTCCATGCTGTTTGGCCGGCTTGTTGCTTCCCGGCCAATCAGCATCAAGCCGACCAAACAGCGTCCCGTGACTTCCTGATTGGCCGGGAAACCGGCTCGCTGCTGATTGGCCGAGAAAGCCGGCTACCCGGCCAATCAGCATCGAGGCGGCCAAACAGCATGGAGCCGGCCTTTTGGGCAATCAAGAAGTCAGACGGCAGGTAATGACAGGCTGCTCGGCTTCCTGATTGCCCGGGAAGCCAGTACTGTTAGCCGGAGTACCGGTATCGGTACTCGGTATCGGCCAGTACTGAAAGGAAGATGACACACTACAGTACTATTATATACCGAGCTTATTATTATAAAAAATATGTCACATGTAAGAGATAGGGCATATTATATGATGTCCTATATACTTGTCTTCACTGTATTATATCTGATTGTATGGTTCTGTTGTGATATGTTTGATGATGTCCTACCAATGTTCCAGCATATGTTAATTTCAAATTGTAACAACCAGACATCTATTGCTTCCACTTTCTTCTGTCAAAACGAATACATTTACCTTTTAAAAATTAAAATGTTACATACATACACAGTAACGTTGCACTTTTGATACCTAGAGCAGAAGAAGAGCTGTGGGAGATATCACAGTACAGTAACAGTTGTAAACCTGCTGCCTACAAATGACATTCACAGCAAGCTCACTGCAAGCTCAGTGTGAGTCAGCACTCTTACTCCTCTTCCGTATTGGTAATTGTGTGACAGAAGCAGGCCAGAGGTTACAAAGTCATTGCACAGCCAGTGTTGTCATTTGTTCAGTAAATTGCTTCACTGCAGCAGGAAGTCACTGGGGTCAATTAACTAAAGGCAAAGAGGTTGTTCAATTCACAGCAAAATCTTCCCATAGCTTGGTAAACGTGGTGAAAATTCCCTTTGCAAATAATACCCAATCACGAGCCAAAAAAAAAATAGAGCTTCACCTTATTCACTGAAAAAGACAAATATGCTGTGCTATAGAACAAGTTGGAGACAAAAAAGAAGGAAATGTCAAAAGAGGAAAAACTGGATTGACTGCAAGCTGCTGGAACTCAGGCTAAGAAACCCCAAACGTTGATTAGTGAAATAGTACAGCGCTATGAGTCTCCCATTATATTAATGTGTTTAAACTAAAATGTGCGTCAATCTCTACATTTATTTTCTGTGCAAAATTTCACATACAATTTCACTCACTGACACACTGGATATATGAAGGTGGTTACAGAATTTTTATTTATTTATTTATATAATTGATTTATGGTGTAGAGATTGACGCACATTTTAGTTTAAACACATTAATTAATATAACGGGAGACTCATAGCGCTGTACTATTTCACTAATCACCTTATTCACTAATCTAATGAAAATTTCCCTGCGAAGTGAACAGCCTAGCTGCCTTTAGTAAATCAACCCCACTGTGTCATAGTTACATAGTTACATAGTTACTGCGTCAGGCAACAAAACAGTATTTTGTTACATACCTGGCAATCTCAGATTTTCCTGAGATACTTTGTCTCTAGAAATGTCTGTGTTTGTGAGAGTTTATAGTTTTCAATAAAAAGCTCTTCTACTACAATGGTAATTTCATTAATATATTGCTATTTTTGAACCGGAGCTCTAGGCAGAAATAAAAGACACAAATTAATGCAGCTCTGTGACCATTAATACAGGGGTAGGCCACCTTGGCACTCCAGCTGTTGTGGAACTACAAGTCCCATGAGGCATTGCAGGACTCTGATAGCCACAGGCATGATTCCCTGATGCAGAGGCTAGATGGGATTTGTCGTTTCACCACAGCTGGAATGCCCAGGTTGCCTATTCCCGGATAAATACATCATTAAATTTATTTTTAAATACAAGCAATTTATTTTTAAATACAAGCAGTATAAGTAATAATTTGACCTGTAGCAGCCTCTTGCATTATCTGTATAGAAGGGTTGGAGTTTGAGAGGAAAAAGCAGCATGACAAGTAGTATGACGATAGGAGGAGAAAGCAGAGTGACTGAGAGATGAGCTCATCACTGTGCTGCTTTTCCTTTCATTGTCCCATCACAGGCTTGGGCAGGGGGACGCAGCCTCAGAAGAAGTGGGTTGAATGGTGCTGGCCATCAGGCTGAGGACATCTAGCAGCAGAAGAAATGTTCTGCAGGGGAACTCTCAAGCTTGAAGCTGAATATTGCAGCCAACAATTTTTTTATTTGATGCAGCGCATTATGGCCACAAAATGTAGCCGAAGAGCATAGGAAATTCCTATGTTCCTTGGCTTCATCCAGTGGCCATATTGAACTGCAAATGTAAAACTCCGACATTCTCCAAGCTGTTCACTTTGTGAACGTTTTATGCATACGTCCCTAAGAACTGAATTGGGTACCCCCAGATTATATTAAGGCAACCTACATTAACAAATGGCTATGCAAATATCTACATAATTTGTGTTATCATAATACAGATACAACCATGTTATTACATATTTTGCTTATTAACTTCCAGTATACTCCGCAGTATTTTACAGAACAATGAACTATTCACATCCATTTGTATTCACAGTGCTCTCTGCACAATTTTATCTGGATCATTGATGAACATGCATGTTCGTGCACTGTCATTGTCATCAATAGGCCCCATAACCTGCATTTATGCATCCAAAAACAGACAATGTATGTTAACACATTGCACAAATCTAAACTTGCACAATTCAAACAAACAATTGTTAAAGTGACACTAACCTCAGGAGTCAAATCTTAAAAATACATTCAAGTACCTGAACTATTAACAAAAATGTATCTTATTTGTGTATCACTCGGCTGTAGATCCTCCAATCATCTCTGAATTGGTGCTGACACTGTTCTTCCTTCTGGAGGGTGGCTACTTTTGTTCCCCATGGACCACTCCAAGCTCACTCCTGTGATTGACTACATTCTCACGTTAAGTTTACCAATTTGTATTGAAATTGTAGTCCATCACGGGAGTGAGCTTGGGAGTGAGTCCATGGGGAACAAAAGTAGCCAGCGTTGGGTGATGTCATTCACAGAACGAGCGGTGGCAGTATCAGCCACCGGCATGTTCTGCGCATGCCCGCCGCCATCTTGGAGGCGGGGTGCATGACATCACATAATGTTACGCGTGCACAGAATTGGGTGATGTGATTTGCCGAATGAGCAGTGGTATTAACGGCCACTGGCGTGTTTTGCACATTTTCAGGTGCCGCCATCTTGGTGTATATCTTGGAAGACACTAACATGGCGGGTGCCGATCTGTGGTTGATTTGTGCGATATACCCGATTCGGAGGCTCGTTGCAGCCGATGTACGGCTGATTTTTGCCGATCTTTAGTGTAAAGAAGAACAGAGTCCTGGAAGTGATGGTTTGGCCCCCACAAAGTCCTGATCTCAACATCATCAAGTCTGTCTGGGATTACATAAAAAGACAAAAGAATTTGAGGCACCTTACATCCACAGAAGATCTGTGGTTAGTTCTCCAAGATTTTTGGAACAACCTACCTGCCGGGTTCCTTGAAAAAGTGTGTGCAAGTGTACCTAGAAGAAGGCAAAGGGTGGTGACACCAAATATTGATTTGATTTGGATTCCTCTTCTGTTCATTTACTTTCCATTTTGTTAAAGTTGACCTTTGCTAAAAATCACATCAGCGTGCACCTCTGCATGCTGATTTCAAATCATATTACATGCATTAGTTAACCAAACTTGTTTTTCATTTACTTACACATAGAGTTCATCCACTTCCTGGTCCACTTTGGCACAAATGATGTAATTGTGCCCAAGGGGTGCATCCTGGGAATGTTACATCGGTAGAGCATTGCTGGGAAATCTCATCTATAATCTCATGCGATCTCAGTGTCCTAGTCACATGTGCCAGAGTTCAAGGAAGTAATAGGAACCCTAGTAATCTGCCCTTCATTAACATGGTCACTGTCAGAAGACTGGGGAAGAAAAGAGAAATAAGGTATACAAAGAATACAAAGACATCAATTACATGGAAGTATGTGTTTGGAGATTGTCATTACTAAACATATCTAAAGGTGTGTGTTGTTGTTGTTGTTGTTATGTTAAAGATATGGGTTCTCCTTTAATTGATAAAAATAATCTATTAATTAAGCTTCCAGTCCCTGGTATTAGGACACAATGCTAGTCAGGTCATATTTAGAAGATATTTCAACACTAGGCAAGGATGGTGATAGGATCTTCAGATTAAAATATTATATTTACTGGATTAACCGAATATAAATTTTACATCTTAAACATGATTAAGACTATGATTTGCATTTAATTCAACGGTGAAACAGGTTGTAACGTATTGAACATGTGTTTTCTGTCAGTGTATTAAATCAAAATATTTGAGACATGAAAGTAGAAGTATAGACTTTTTTTTTTAGTTTTGGATAGAGTGAGGGAGAATTATGAACCCCGTCAGCTTATTTTTTTGCCATCTGTGTCCCATTGGGGATATTTCTCTTCCCATCCTGTCCCATAGCCACAACAGGGACTTAAAGTAAATCCCTCCTAAGGGTAGAAGGGTCAGCAGGGTCATCGGAACCAGTGTCCCCATTGGAAGAATTCCCATCTATTCATGTTTTCACTACAACACAACATTTAGAATTTTCTTTCACTTTCAGTAATAACAGTCAGCAGAAAAAATAGAGAGGGCAAATTTCCCTAACGGGGAGCAATATAAACCTGACCAGTGTTCTAAACCCACTCTACCCTATCCAAAACTAATTGCTTTACACAGTATCACACTGCCTGATAAAGAGACCCTGTGTGGCCCGAAAAAGTTGCACTTCCACTTGTGATATGTTTGTTATGAGATGCTAATAAAGGCATTTTATTCACAAATAAGATGGTGACTTTTTCCTCAGTGTTGTTTTATACCATGTCTCTGTGGATATAGCCATCTACGTAGAAGTAAGCCTTTGCTTCCTCATATCGGAGCTGCCCCCCTAGTGACTGGTGATCTAATGAGTGGAAGTTTAATATTCTAGAAGCAGCAGGAGAAGTGAATGAAGCAAAAATACACAGAATTAAGGTAGAAGAAGCAGGGAGATCTTTGCACTGCAGGTCATCAGGTACAGCTTCCTCTCTAGCAAGGAGAACAGTGATCAGCACCATAGGGCCATCACCAAATATCATGAAACTTGCCGTCAGCAGCAGCAGAGCCTTAGATAATCTCACAGTACAGATGTACAGCTATCAGACTTCAGAACAGGAATGCCTAGGCACAGGAGATGCACTGCTATTTTAAGGAGGAATTCAAGAAAAACTACTTTTTGATCGTATTACCATTTCTAGCTGTTCCCTTTAAGACGACACTTCTTGAGTTCAGATCCACTTTACTGAGACAGTTCTGAACACAGAGTTAAAGCTCTTGCTAAGAATCAGTTCAAATATTGTAGCTCCAGCCTACAGCTATTAAATGTTAATGTTATTTACAATATTCTTATCAACACTACCATGGCTGTATGAGTAACACACACAATATTCACTTTCAAAACAATAACCTGCAAAACACTTTCTCAGTGGAAGATATACAATATTTCCAATGAGATGTGTATCTTATCAGCTACATATACTGTATATTGCTAGATGTGCCTTTATTAAACATTAGAATACAGAAATCGTATTTCTTTTTTAGCCTAGCAAAACCAGTAGTCTATTTGCAAACTATAGAGTTATAAATTGCATTCAGGTTAATTCCGACTCCACTTTGGTTTTTCATACAAGGCTGGGTGGATTGCTTTAACTTCTCCTTTCTGTCCCTCTATCCCACATGTCTGTGTCTGTCTCATAAGAGAAGTCAGAGAGAAAAGAAGGGGAGGAGAGATAGTTGAGTGATAGGTATTTATAAGTGCAAAGTCTTAACACACAGAAGAAAAGTCTCATGCTGATGAGTACAGGAATATCTCCATCCAGCAAAAAGAAATCCCACAGTCAGGTAACTATTGTCCCACATTGTACACTAGGAATCGAAGCTTTAACGCGTTGGGGAATTGATAATTGATTATTATTTCAGGCAAAAACTTGACAAACATCTTACCTGCACATATTCAGCAATGGGAAAATGTACATAAGCAAGCAACTTTTTAACCTTATTTTTTTGTTTTGTTTTGTATGTGTATTTTTCAAAATTCTTCCCACAACAGTGACATTACTTACATGAATGTACTCTTACTTTTGAAGAAACATGTTTTATTAACACGCATGGATACACATTTGTGCAGGCTTTGGATAACGAGGTCAATTAGCAGGTATTTTCTTCCAAGCATCATTAAAATTAAATAAGGAGGTCATTAAAACCTTGAAAATGTATTTTGAATTTATTACACCAACCAAACCAAAATGAGGCACCCAAGCAGCAGAGGGTTTTTAACTTATTCCACAAAAAATATTTATTATTATGGATAATTGGGCCATTTATTACATTTCCAGTACTCCTCTAGTACTAGATTTACTGTAAAGTCTACAGAGTACAAGGAACTAGTCTCAAGTTGAGAATCCTTGATCAAAATATTGTTTGAGTATTCATGTCAATATTTAATTCATGTAAAAGGCATCTGCATTTGATTTGGTATTCAGAAGGAACGAGAATTAGATATTTGATGATTCTATACTCCTTTATGAAATCAGCCTCTTTTTATAAGGAGTGAACTGGTGTGGGGGGCTGAGGGGTGTTTTCCACACAAGATAGTACAAATAATATTTGTTGGACTGGTGTGGGGGGCTGAGGGGTGTTTTCCACACAAGATAGTACAAATAATATTTGTTGGACTGATGACCCTCAGGCTCTGTTCACACCTAAGCATCAGTGTTTCATGGTTTTTCTTTTAGCATTGTTCATGCATCGTGCATTTTTCAAAACATTTTTCCTGTGTTTTTGTGCTGTCCTCCATTTTGTTTCCCAGTGGGTTTTTTTTTTTTGCAAAGAGGAGAGCTGGTTCTTGCACACCAAATGTGCAACAAAATGCTTCAGAAACTCTAGAAAATGCCTGAGTAGCACGTTTACAGGTACTCCCATTGAAGTCTATGGGGCCTAAAATGCAGAAAACTGCGGAAAAGTAGCTAATGTATTTTTCCAGTGACAAGCGTTTGGCTACAGGTGACAGGACACCGGACAATCATATGTGAACAGGGGCCATTGAAAACACAAAAAGACTGTCATGGTTATTCACAAAAGGGTTTGGAGAAGGCAGGAGAAGTGAACAATCTAGGCCAAATTAGCTAATTTGGAAAAAAAAATCTCCAATTCAGCTCCCTTTCCAGTTCAGCTATGTTGTCCTAGATTGTTCACTTCTCCTTCCTTTTCCAAACTCTTCACCCTTTTGTGAGTAACCCTGAGAGTTTTTTTTAGGGCTTAACTCTTTCAGCTACTAAATTCCTAGGTGTGAATAGGGACTATCTATCTATCTATCTATCTATCTATCTATCTATCTATCTATCTATCTATCTATCTATCTATCTATCTATCTACAGTATCTATCTATCTACAGTATCTATCTATCTATCTATCTATCTATCTATCTATCTATCTACAGTATCTATCTATCTATCTATCTACAGTATCTATCTATCTATCTATCTATCTATCACACAATAAAAGGTAATCATAATATATATCAACAGTCAAATTGCAGGAAGGAGAGCAACTGATTCTTTTTCAACATTCGGGTTTATGCAGGACAAAGCCACCTGGGCATTTTTCTAGTCACATGCCTAAACAGGCAGGGATATTTACCAATGTGCTTTTTTGATATCTATCTATCTTTCTATCTATCTATCTATCTATCTACAGTATCTATCTATCTACAGTATCTATCTATCTATCTATCTATCTATCTATCTATCTATCTACAGTATCTATCTATCTATCTATCTACAGTATCTATCTATCTATCTATCTATCTATCACACAATAAAAGGTAATCATAATATATATCAACAGTCAAATTGCAGGAAGGAGAGCAACTGATTCTTTTTCAACATTCGGGTTTATGCAGGACAAAGCCACCTGGGCATTTTTCTAGTCACATGCCTAAACAGGCAGGGATATTTACCAATGTGCTTTTTTGTACCCGCAAATCAAATGCAAATCCTACACAGCTCCCCTTATAAAGAAATATTATGTACAGAAATTGAGAGCTCTTCTTTAAAGTATATCTAAACTCAAGAACATATAGGGACTATATTGCAGCTTACCAGTCCTGGGATGTGGTGGCTGCATTAGTTTTGTCTTTTATATGCTTTTTTTTTCACCTTGTGGGACTAGCAGTAGCAGGGTTGTCACCCCAGGACAGGACTACTGAACACTTCCTTCTCTTCCTTTTTCTATAACATAGGGAGAAGGTGTTCTGTGTTTGACAGTGAAAGCTATAAACAACACTAACTGTAGTATATGCAAAATGCAAAGGAAGTTATTAGCTCACAAATTTGGATCAACAGGGATTTTATTTTTGCACTTGTTAAACAGATGTAACAAAACACTTTAAAAAGATATATTTAACAGAGCAAATAATAGACGTTCATTGTGAGGATTTATATACAATAGTGACATTTAGGGCCCAATCACACCATGTCCGGATCATCTCCAGATGAGACCAGATTGTTTCCGGACCCAAAATGCATCCTAATGTATCCCTATGCTATGTTCTGGCCTCTGTTCACACCAGCGCAGTCCGTTCCAGACCAGACCAGAAAAATACTGCTTGTCCTATTTTGTCTGGTCTTTGCAGTGGAAGCATAACATTACATACAAATGCACTGGAATGCACCTGTAAGACCATTTTAAGCAAAATAAATAAATACATAAAAATAAATAAAAATTCAAACACGCCAAACACGCAGTAAAATTGCGGGTCAAACGTGGTAAAAACACAATGCACTACGTTCCAGATCTGGTCCAGAAAATGGTGTGAACCTGCCCTAAAGTTAAAAAAAATGTTCTCCCCCCAATGCTGGTGTATGCACTTACCTTAAATGATGCCTCTTGATCCGATCATCTTCTTTCCTGTAGTTTTCATCAGTCCCTCCAGCGCTGATCCAGCTCTGACTGCTGCGTTTTCTGTGTCCCACAGTGTCTGTCCATGTGCACGCTGCTGGGCTGCCTGCATTGACTTACCCTGTGCCTCTCCTCGTGTCCCGGCCGAAGATCTGAACTGTGCATGCCGCCTGAGAATCTTCAGATCTTCGGACGGGAGCGCGCAGCAGAGACACAGGTAAGTTTGAACCCTTTAGAAAAGTTTTTGGTTTATTTTCAATGTTTTTGCATATATCAACTGCTTGCTGGTAGTGGATATATGCAAATACCCTTTAAGATCTGCTTACAGATGTAATACAACAAATAGTGTGGTAGCCAGAACATACCTAACTAACTAACTAGTGACTTTCAAGCATTTGTCAGGTCAGTGGAGTTTCTTCCTCTATTTCCCCCAAGTGTCAGATTACTAGACGTTCTTTTCTGGTTAGTTTTTAAGCATTGTAAAAATAACTATATTTGTCATGTAAATACAGTTAGTTTTTTCTAGCATCCAAAACTGGCTGGACTTAATTTTTTTTTTCAATGTGGTAATTTTAGTGTTTGTTTTCCCCTTCACATTTACATGCTGTCTAGCAAAAGTGATAGTTGAAGGGGTTCTTACAGCTGCTAGCTTTTAACAACATGTTTTAAACCAGCGGTGAGTAAGTTTGGCCCTCCAGCTGTGCTTTAACTGCAAATCCCAACATGCCTCTGCCTCTGGGAATCATGCCTGTAACTGTCAGTCTTGCAGTTCTACAACAGCTGGCGGGTCGAAGCGGCCCACCCAAGATTTAAAGCCATTTTCTAAGGACCTGTTCACGCCTGTGCATTAAGTTAATCGCACGGTGCTATGTGATTACCACACACCATCATGCAACACACCTACCATGCATTACAGTGTGGCAGGTGCATTGCGTGGCCATTCATTTGAATGGCAACCAATGCGCCTCCAAGCCGCAATACAGCATAACGCACAGTAATGCAATACCCTGCTTTGCGGTAGAAAAATCAGTACATGCACTACTTTCTTTTTTCCACTGCACTGCAACACACAATATTGCATTGCACTACATTATGGCTGGTAGGCACATTGGGGTGCCATGTAAATGAATGGCAATGCAAGACACCTGCCGCACTGCAACAGAAGGTAGGTATGTTGCATGATAGTGTGCATAAATCACATAGTACCATGTAATCAACATGACACATAGGGGTCAATTACCCCTAAAAGGATTAAAGGCTGCTGTCAATCATGTAATAAAACTATGTTACCTAAAGACTCAGATTAATATATAAACTGCTGTGCTAATGCTAAGTGTCACTTTATCACCAGGGACAATTCAGTTGGGAAATTTCAGAACAGCAGCTCCAACTACTAACACAATACATCTCCTCATCTTTATCACTATAGCATACCTACGTTATTGGCAGGAATTAGAGTATATTTTTTTAAAGCTCTAGCTTCCTTATGTCATGTGCAGAATGTTCAACATACAGGGGTCTATTCACGAAGCTGCCGAAGGATCTGGCTGTAGCTTCGGCCGATCCTTCGGCTAGCTTCGGCCCCAGTACCCCTTTGGTTCAGTAGAACCAAAGGGGTGCTGTACGGGCTATTCACAATAGCCCGTACTGCTCCCGATCATGGCCGAGCGGCTCAGCCGAGCGGAACGCATATGCATCGGCTCGGCTGAGCCGTGCTGAAAGCCGAAGCTGGCCGACAGCCTGCTTCTGACAGCTGGGCGGAGCCAGCCGTGATCTTACGGCTGGCTCCGGACGAACAGTGAATAGCCGAACATAGCTTAACTGGAGCTGATTTTTCCAAATCAGCTATGTTCTCTGAGATTGTTCACTTCTCCTGCCTTCTCCAAACTCTTCACACTTTTGTGACTAGACCTGGTAATGTAGATAGTGTCCTGGCTGCAATTTGGATCAAGGACCTTATTGCTGCAAGACATAAGTGCTAACAACTAAGCCACTGTGCTGCCCAGCCAGTAGTGTACCTTTATGATTATCTGTGAATACCCATGGTACACACAGCCATGAGCTGCACAAACCATAATATGTGGCTATACATTAGAAATATAATATGATTATACGGACTAGAGCTAGGAAGTTGATGCTCTGACCTGCCCCCTTCCACCTGCCATACTTTGCTTTTGGCCAATGACTTTGATGGATTGCCCCACTGACCAATATTGAGGTACTGGATGGAGAGAGCCAAAGCACTAACTGCCTAGTTAAATTTGTATAACAGGGCTTGGGGCTCTTGGGGTGCTCAGGAAGATAGATAACGGCATGTGCAGGTATGTCTTTTTGCCCTTATTAACAATTTTTTTTTGCCACTTTATAGTGTGGAACACTATAGTATAGAAGTACACAAGTAATGTAATAAAAAAAAAAAAAAAAAAGTAAACCATTTCGGCCTATCCGGTTTAAGTGGACTACAGTCAGATAAGTTAAGAAGCTTGTTGTTATGTGGTTTTTGTATTTTGTACATTCTTCTTACACTTTTTTGCACTGTATTATAGAATGAATCATAGAATAGATCATCTTTTCACAGGGTGTTCAAGCCTTTTCCAAACACACCTCTGTTTCTCCACTTTTTCTGCCTCTGTGCTCAACCCTTAATCAGAACACTGGCTATGGTATACATATCATCTTCTTTTTTAGTGGTCCCCTTTAGGAGACTGGGACAGAAGAACAAAAGGAGCTTATTGATAATTTTCAAAAAGAGGGGGGGGGGGGCACATTATGTTTTTGTTTTCACTAATGAGGTCTTCCCACAAGCTAGGCAGTGTTCTGATTAAGGGTAGAGTGCACAGAGGCACAAAAAGTGAAGAAGCAGGAACGTGGTTGGAAAAGGATTTAACACACTGTGAAGAGATGATAAACTGTGCAAAAAGCACAACCAACACTAAATCGGTGTATATTGTGGAAGGATTCATTGGTTTAAGGATGGTTTTCCAATATATAATATGAGGAGATATTTTATGGATGTGTGGGTTTTTATTTTTTTATCAGTATTAAAGTATATTGGTTTTTATAATGTTGTAACTAAGATTTATTGGTACCAGTAAAACCCCATACAATGTAACTACATTTCCACTCTATGGATGTGTCTAGATATTAAAGTGACACTAAACTCTGGAGTTCAATTATAAAAATGCATTAAAGTACCCTAACTATTAACAAAAATTTACCTGATTTGTGTATCACTCAGCTGTAGGTCCTCAAATCATCTCTGAATAAGTACTGACACTGTCCTTCCTTCTGGAGGGTGGCTACTTTTGTTCCCCATGGTCCCCGTGTGTGTTGTAAAGTAGCCACTGCTTCAAGCTGAATCCTGTGATAGACTATAACTTTGATACAAATGAGCAAACTAAACGTGAGACTGTAGTCCATCACAAGAGTGAACTTGGAGCAGTGGCTACTTTACAACACACAAGGACCATGGGGAACAAAAGTGGCCACCCTTCAGAAGGAAGGACAGTGTCAGCACCAATTCAGAGATGATTTGAGGATCTACAACTAAGGGGTCTATTCACAAAGCTAGCTTCGGCCCCAGGACCCCTTCGGTTCAGTAGAACAGAAGGGGTGCTGTACGGGCTATTCACAATAGCCCGTACAGCTCCCGAATGTGGCCGAGCGGCTCAGTCGAGCCGAACGCATATGCATCGGCTCAGCTGAGCCACGCTGAAAGCCGAAGCTGGCCGAGCGGCCGGCATTTGGCCAGCCGACAGCCTGCTTCTGACAGCTGGGCGGAGCCGGCCACTTGCAAAGATATCAGCGTCCCTGGTTACCTGGCGCTCTGGGAGTCTCCTGCTCCCAGCCGCCAAGGAGAGAAACACTGCTGTTTCTTTTTTTTCTTTATTCTGACACAGAATAGAAAAAACAAAACAAAACGTTTTTGCCCATTGGAATGCATTGCTAGATTCCTATTGGCTATTTCAATTTGCAATGGCCAATAGTAAACTAGCATTGTACCCGCCCTCTGCTGCAGTTCTCCATCTGGTCCATCAGCAGAGGGTGGGTACAATGCTAGTTTACTATTGGCTATTGCAAATTGAAATAGCCAATAGGAATCTAGCAATGCATTCCATTTTTTTTTTTATATTCTGACACGGCTCCATGTCAGAATAAAGAAAAAAAAAGATAAATCAGTGTTTCTCTCCTGGGCAGCCGGGAGCGAAAGGCTCCCAGAGCGCCCGGGAGATTTTTTTTTTCTTTTACGGCAGCAGAATTGCCGGACAATAGAAAACTGTTGGGCGGAGCTAGCTGTCATTGCTAGCTCCGCACAATCGTTTTCTATTTACTTTTTTTTTACTTTTTAAACAATTTTTATGTTCTGCTCGGTCCCTCTGAGGAACCGAGGAGAAAAGCCGAGCCGAATGCCGCTCAGCGGCATTTGGCTATTCACTCACTGCTGTTCGGCATCTATAAGAATAGGCCGAACAGCAGTGAGTAGCCTGCCGGAGGTTCGGCTCAGCTGATCCAGATGTTGGATCGGCTGAGTCGAACTCCTTCTGCACTTCGGGTCAGCCGAACATGCTGAGCATGTTCGGCTGACCCGAAGCCATGCGAAGCAAGCCGATGTACGGCTGATTTCAGCCGATATACGGCTGAAATCAGCCGTACCAGCCTGAAGTGAATAGCCGAACAGTGTTCGGCTCACTTCACTTGGGGTCGGTTGTTCACTCGGCTGCCCTCGGCAGCTTAGTGAATAGACCCGTAAGTGGTAAACAAATAAGATACATTTTTGTATATAGTTAAGGTACTTAAATCCATTTTTAAGATTTAACTCCTGAGTTTAGTGTCAATGGTGCCGTGCCGTGGCCATTGAGTTATCACCCAACAACATTTATTTCCAAACATTTTAAAAATAATTAAACCTTTTAAGGAAAAAATATGGCAATCGTAGGCAGTTCCTCCTGTGTGGTAATCTTTACTCATTACCAAAATCAGTCATGCATATATTTACAACAGGATATCTAATAATCCTATCTTATTTTATTTTTAATGCAGTGAAAAAAGATGGTTGTGTCAAAATCATGGACTATGGTGAGACACTTTGAGGGTGTTCCAAAACTGGAAGACTTCAAACTGATTGAGAATGAGTTGGCACCACTTAAGGATGGCGGTAAGAGATCCTGATTCTTCTGAAAAACATGTGTTAAAGAAAACCAGTTGACACAAAATAGCAAAGTTGCACCTAAATTGTACAGTGATGTGCTTTTTCATTACCCTTGTTTCTTTTGTAGAGTAACATGGGTATGTAGAAATCCAGATAACTGTAATGCATAGGGTGACAAAGATACTATGATGTGAGCTCTGACCTTTTCTCTCTCACCTATTCTTACCCTTTACTGTTGGCACATAACTGTGATGGGCAGCCTTGCTGACAAATAGTGGGATGCCGGAGATAGAAGGGAATAGACTGGAGACCACGACATGGCATTTTGTCACTTTGTGCTACAGCACACCTCTTTATGAACATCTGTGGTGTGCCATTTCTCCTTTTTCTTTTTTTTTCTTTTTATGCAGTACATTTCCTTCCCAAGCATCTACTCAGACATAATAGGATTTTTTTCTGAACTGTTATAGCCGGCACACACATTCCCAATTTGTTTAAAACAGAAAAAAAACCATGAGGTTTAATTTTCTTTTTATTGCCTAATGGTTTTCTCCCTGTTAAAGTCATAACAGAGTGAGCACAACCCTATTAGGATCAATCTATCACCTGATACAAACACCAGAGACTAAGGTTAACATTTTATTTAAAAAAAGAATGATCCATTTTTATATGAAGGAAAAACACCATGTAACCAGTACTTTATAAATTGACATACATTTGTTTAATAAGAAGGCTGATGGAGAGCTACAGTAAATGCAAGAAACCATTTATAATTGTAATAAGATACTTAAAGGAATATAGAAACTCCAGTGCCTACAGTTGTTCCAAGTGTACTTTGTACACTTTTTGTACATACTTTTTGGACTTCCTGAGCGGTGCAGCTCTAGTATCACAGTCCTTGGCTCCCACGTGAAAGCCTTGAAAGGACTTGGACGTGTTATTTTCATCTCAAACTGTAGAATAATCGTATCAATTTATATTAATTTTTATTTTGGAATTGTTCACCAATTCAAGACATACAATTTCACTGCACATAAGCTGTAAAGCAGGGTTCCTAAACAGGTGACTATACATAAAAATATGGGCACATCCAGAAACCTTTTTTTCTTGCCTGGATTTGCCTAATTCTTCTGCATAATCCCTGGCAACATTCCCAGTTTTTTTAAACCAGGGCAAATTGTGTTACAAAATTTCTACTTGGCAAACCTTAGCAGTAATAGAAATTAATAGAGCGTGATGGGTCTACACTGAAGTGTGGCACATGTCCAGGACCCTCCTCTAAGCACTACTATTTTCAAAAGACAGATGAGCATTGTAAAGATTAGGGTTTATCAAATCAGCTTGGGTGAGCGTAGATCTGCGTAGGTAAAATGGGATAAATTAAAAATGGGCACAATTGTACAAACAATGATGTCATATCTGCAGAAAAAGATCTGTGTGAACAAGAATTTATCTACACTGGATCCTTATTCCTCTTTGGACTTTACACTTGTTACAAGTACTTATTTTAGATCACTGCTTGATTTTATTCTGTTTTTATTTTTCGACAATATACTATTGTGTGTGTATATATAGTCACATTGTTTTGATTGTAGCTCGGCACTATATTTTATTGCGTTTCATGTAGAGTATCACTTATTTGGGTTTACTTTTGAGTGCTTTGTAGCTCTCCTAGGTTTTAGTTTATATTGGTGCAGGGTTTTTACTGGTTTAACTACTCACTGTCTTCCCCTTGTATATAAACGGAATGCTTTAATGCGGGTTGCCGTACATGTACAGCGTTTTTTTTTATTTTCGTTTTTTTTCTGCTCATGTGTGCTCCTGTAGACACAGAAAAAGGTAACTGCTGTAACAGCAACAATTTTCGGGCCATTAATCACTGTTAACACTAAACTGATAAGCGGTAAAAGATTTTAAAGCCTCGCCTATGGCCAATTTTGGGTGTGGTAGTTTTTTGTGATTTCGCTGGCACAGGCAATTTTAATGCTAGACATGTTTGGTGTCTATTTACCCGATATGACCTCATGATTTATATTTTACTAAAAAATTGGGTAAGAAAAATGTTTTCATAACATTGTAGGGAAGCCAGCCGCAGCAAGTCGATGTACGGCTGATTTCAGTCAGTGAAGGGCTGAAATCAGCCGTACAAGCCTGAAGTGAATAGCCGAACAGCGTTCAGATCACTTCACTTCGGGTCATTTATTCACACGGCTGCCTACGGCAGCTTTGTGAATATCCCTCTCTTAAGGTGCCCATACACTGGACGATTATCGTACAATAATCGTATGCGATCGGTTTTTCGTACGATAATCGAGCAGTGTGAACGAAGACGTGCGACCGTTTCTACTGTACGGTCGCACGTCTTCTGTTGAACCAGCATGTTCGAAAACCAGCCGGGAATCGTACGATTCTCGGCTGACTAGAACGGTGCTCGGAAGACAAATGCCGAACGGGCCGATGATCAAGAGTGCGATCTGCCTGTCCAAGATAGGCAGACCGTACGTTTTTTTAATCCCTGTACAACCATCGCAAGACTAAAGTCTTGCGATGGTTGTAGAGTGTATGGCCACCTTTAGTCATGTGCAGATGAAATAAACAGGAGTATGTTTTTCATGTGACTGGATAATTGAACTAGTTTTTTATCTAATTTAAAGGCTCTCAACCTGTAGTAAATCCACCTGTTTTATTTTTACCTGGAATCTAACTATTTTTTTCCTAGTGCCAAATTGGTACATTTGAATTATATTCGTGATCTGAACATTTGGCTCATATCTTGTCTGCCTCTCTGCTGTTTGGTACCCCACAGAGTATGTAACCTATGGCATTTTATATTATGTTTGGTGCATTTTGTAGGACATTATTGAATTTATTTTCTCTTACTGAAGGAATGTTTATGTTATTGTGATTTCAGAGCTCTTACTGGAATCAGAATTTTGGAGTGTGGATCCATACATGAGGTAATTTTAGAAGTCTTAGCAACAGTTTTGTAGTGCATTTGTATATTGAAGCCCTTATTAAAAGTGAAGGATGGAAAATCTATGACCACTAGGGATGAGCTCAGGTTCATGGTCTGAACCTGAGCTGCTCTGAACACGGAGCGCCCTGAATCCGGAAGGAGACTCCTTCCATTGCTGTCCAATTACTGACTGACATGTATTAAGTCATGCAATGCTGAATTAAAATAATTTTATATCATTTTTTGGGGGGTAGAGGGTTTGTGTTTTTTTTTTTTTGTGGTGGTGGTATTTAATCACCACTTTTTTTAAATATATATTTTACTATAAAGAAAAAGGAACAAAACATTCTGAAAAATTTCCCTACATTATGTTATGAAGCACTTATTAACCAATTTTTGGGTAAATTATATACCAAACATTTCAAGCCTTAAAACTGCATGTACCCTATCAAATCGCAAAAAGCTACCATATCCAAAATTGCCCATGTGTGACACTTTAAAAGCTTTTACCGCTCATCAGTTTAGTGGTAACAGTGGTTGATAGTCTTTAGAATTATTGCTTTCACTCCGACGTTCACGGCGATATGTAACGTGTGGTACAATTGTAATTTTTGCATGTAAGGTCCCCCAACACGTATTTGCATTTGTATGTACATGGGACGGGTGACTTCAAAATGTAATCTATTTCTTTTTTTTTTTTTTTACACTTCCTGTGATAGTACAGATACAATGACAGGTCCTCTTTATGGAGACATTAAGGATCTATTAGACCCCTAATGTTACCTAGGGACCCCAAAGAAGCTGATGAAGCAGCAATCGTGTTTTACCAGCTTCTTCTCTGATCGTAGCGGAGGTCAGCTGCTGCAAGTGTGCTGAACTCCCTCTGATCTCCGTGCAGAGACCTGCCGTGCCAGGTGCAGAGCCCAGGAAAGGCCGCAGCAGTGGAAGGGGGGTGGTGCACAATTCCCCAGCACAACATACATCGACGACTTAAAAAAAAATTCCCGTGGTGCACGGGAGCGGGAAAAGACATTTAAAGAAACATCCACCCGCATTCAAAGGCGAGCTGGCCGGCTGTCGAATTACAACAGCTGGACAGCTGTTTAATCACTGTGGTAGTTCTTATGTGCATTTCCTATTCCAATGAAATGGTAACTTCATTGATTTGCTCTATTAAATTGTTTTATTTTTGTATCTAACCTGTCTTTTAATACACTTGTATCATGAAACAATGATGTACATATCTTTCAGGCCATACAGTAAGTTATCCTTGAAGGATGGGGATGTCATGATGGGAACCCAGGTCGCCAGGTAACATGTTGTTTGGTTTTTCTTTTGACATACATTTTATAGAATGTGTGCAAATGACTTAATTGCCACATATAGGGTCCTAACCACAACCTTGGGGCCTGGAGGTGGAGATAACCCAAAAAGGGCCATGTGTGGGGGGAATGGGTAGGCAGAGGCTGGCACTACTTTACCCTGAAAACTGTTCATAGCTAAATGTTCAGAATAGCTTAGTAACTCACAATATCAATGTCCCTGCAGTAAAAAACAAAAAAAACACTTTAATGTAAACCACTTTACATTATTTACAAAATACATGTATTTTTCAACTCTTTTTTTTAAACTTTGTGGCAGAGAATATAGAGATAAAAAAATTATAGTGAAGGGGAGAAATGTTGTTAATTAGGACTTACTGGGGTTAACTAAGGGTTACAAAGGTGTTGATTGGATTGAAAGCACAGTTTATTTTATTTATGTATGTATTTATTTACTTTCATTTGCAAGGTTGCTTTAACCTTTTATCTGCTGGCGCAGGGGCGTAACTAGAAATCACAGGGCCCCATAGCAAAATTTTGTATGGGGCCCCGTGATTGCTAGTTATGCCACTTGCAGAGCCCACCATAGACTCTCTATGGTGGGCTCTGCAAGGTCTCAGTTGCGCTCTACGCTTCTTACCTGTCACCTCTGTGGTCGCCGCCGCCGGGCCCCTGCCTCCTCTTCCGTTCCCGGGCTCCGCCTCCTTCTATCGACGGGTCCCGCCTCCTCTTACATCACTGGCCCCACCTGCTCTTAGATCGCTGGCCAGTGATGTGAGAGGAGGCGAGGTTGCTGTTAGGCGGGCCCCGCCTCCTTTACCGCAAATGCCGGTGATCGATCGAAAGTTCAAACTTATCGAGTTCTGGGACCGGAAGTCATGCGGTCCCACAACTCGATAAGTTTGGACTATCGATAGAACACCGGTGTAACCGGCCTATTCTGCCGCATCTTCTGGCTGTCACTGACACAGATGCCACACGGCATCAGAGGGATGCCTGGCCGGGGCCCCCTGTGCACGGGCCCCATAGCGGCCGCCTGGGTCGCTATGGCGATTGTTACGCCACTGCTGCTGGGAGATAACCGGAGAAGTTACAATGCATCAATAATAACATTTCTACATCGTAATTCTTCTTGAAACTGCTGACACTATTAAGTGTCAGGCTACTCGGGAGCAGCAAAATCTGCCCCTACATAAATGACAGCCAAGCATTGATGGTAATGTGGTCGGAGCTAATGTGGGGGAGGAGGTGCTGGGTGTGCTTCACACATCTAAAGTATTTAGATCAATTTTTATTTTTTGGGTGTGTGTAGCCCAATGTCCATAACTGGTTAAACACAATCACAAGTGTTGTCATGTAAGCTCACTGCTTCATGTTAGTGCTTGTTACAATGGCTAACACAGGTGGCTTTTAAATATGAGAAATGGTTAAATGCACAAATAAAAGAGCTAGAATCGACTTCAGGATGGATTATATAGAAATTATTTTTTCAGAAGTAAATGAATGATAGTGGTATGACCATACCCTCCCAGCTGTTAGAGGAACAGTCCCTCTTTTGGAACCAACCCTCTGTTTTTTCTTTCTTTCTCTCTTTCTCACTTGTCCCTTTTTTGTTCTAAGGAATAGACCTCTAACCAAAAATATGCTACTTTACGAAAACTGTACAGGTGTTATTTTGCACTTATCCTTGCATCCAACTTCTAAATTATTGCATTTGTTATTTTGAAAAGCCAGTATAAAAAAGTCCATTTACCAGCAAAGCATTTAATCCCAAATTCTGGGACAACTAGTTTTCAGCAGTACCTCCAGCGCTGGTACCTGTCCCTGATCCAGCGCAGGCTGCTGTCTCTTCCTGTCCCACGGGGGCTGTCAGGTGTGCATGCTCACAGCTGCGTGCAATTACTTAGTGAGTCTCTCCTCTTCTCATTGCCGGTGATCTCCACTGTGCATGCTTCTGCACACATCCTCCTGCACGGCCACTCAAGAAGTTAGATTTTGCAGCCAGGAGCAAGAGACGGAGGTAGTTTTTAAAAGTAAAAAAAATATTGTTTTACTTAGATTTGCTTGCTAGCAGTAGGTATATGTAAAAAAGAGACTTTATTTTAGTATAATTTTGTTTTGTTTTTCAGGGTTGTTGAAAGTAAGAATCCTGCCTTTGCAGTTGGTGACTATTATGTTGCACGTGCAGGCTGGAAAACACACATAATATCAGATGGTAAAGAACTCCGTGCCTTACCATCCAACTGGCCTGAATCACTGCCCCGTTCATTGGCACTTGGAGCTGTTGGAATGCCTGGGTAAGCTACTTTCAATGCTTAAACATGCTTTTGGGCTCTAATTATTGGATTTTTTTTTTTTTAGTTCAACACTGATATCTCAAAACTACCGCATTTAGGTAATTTTACATATGCATATTTTCTAAGACTAGTGATCCTTCATCTTACCTTTAGGCTACATTCACATTAAAGATACTTGCAGTAAATTCTGACAATTCACAAATAAGTATGCTATATGAATAATGTTAGAGCTTTTTTCAAACCTGTTAAAAGCCTTTAAATCATATAGGTGACAAGCTTGCTTTTGTGAGTTTCAGAGTTAGCCTAGCATTACAGACAATCCCTAAAATTCCTAAAGAGTGTCATAAACGCTCATTAGAAATCAGTCTTTGCCACAAATGGTGCAACTTGTGACACAATCATGTAGAATATATTTTAGTGATATCTCCTTCGCACACCATACTGATGTACCCCAGAATCCAACTGGTACTGGAACAACTGATGGATGGCACCACAGTATACAGTGTAGCACCCCTGAAGGCCGGTGGTGGGCCCCCAAAGGCAGGGAGGGCTGACATTTCACTCTCAGGGGTGGCTCCTTAGCTGGGTTGTGGGATGTGAACAGTAAATTGGGTGCCATTCACTTTAACAAAGCATCTAAAAAGTTTTTAAAGAACAGCCAAACTGGGAGAGCAGGGTGTAGGGCATCAGACAACCATAGCAAAAATAGACTGCAGACTTACCAATTGCTTTCAGCTTCCACCGTGTAGAAATACTTTAGTTGAACAGAAGGTGACACTTTAGTACAGCAACAAATAAATAGAGGATAAGCATGGCATGAGATCTTCCCTGTGGGAGACACCAGACTTATTTCTGAGGTCCATGCCATCTCCTGGCCTTCTTGGCACCTCCACCACTTATAGGGTTCCTCTGGTTCTCCTTCCCAGATAGTTCCAGACCCTTTCTGGATCCACATATGGCCTGCTTCAGGCCTAGTCAGTTTCTCCAAACTTGTACATCCTACCCCCAGGCTAAGCCCACGGATGGACTGCCCTGAGCACATGGCAATTCAGTATTTATGCACTGGCCTTGTATCTTCTAGTGATTGGCTGATAAGGCATAGACACTCAGTGTTCCCCTATTGGCTGCCCCACTCCGTGGCAGGGTCACATCCCACCCACAGGTAGGTGCAATCAATGGCAGAACCCCTAGAATGACCAGAAGATGCCAGACTGATTACAGTGCTAGCAACACTAAATTTAAGTAGCCACTCCACTTGGGGTGGAAGGGTCTACAATAGTTTAGAGGATCAGTTGTCCGCACACCATTCTGCTTCAGAATATCATTTTTTATTGGTATTCCTTTAGCATTATAACTTTCGGAGCCTCGCAGGCAAAGTGGCCTGGCGAAGGGGTTCTGTGAGACGCCAAAAGTTATGTCATGCTAAAGGAATACCAATAAAAATGATATTCTGAAGCAGATTGGTGTGTGGACAACATATCTTCTAAATATTTATGTAACTGTGTACATGAATCTGTTGCAGAATTGCCTATGCCTACAAATGTGACACACTTTACTCTGACATGAAAGGTCTTATTTACCTCCACTTTTCTTATCATCGATACAGCAGTATTTCGTAATGATTTTTTTTAGCAGCAATAGCATCAGAATGTAAACGTGTCACATGTAAGGACTACCTGAATATGTCTCATAGGTCAGAACTAACAAGAAAACTGTTTCACTACTTTCATGAAATTGCCGCAGGACTTCCTAATCTGGCCCTTATGTTAGTATCAAAAATGCTTTATTGAATTGCCCCAGTGTATTTAATTACAAACCTGCAGACCTGCTCTGCTTTGAATATTTACTTTCAATACAGGTACTAAAATTGTGTGCATAACGTTAATAGTGCTTTCATCTACTGGAGTTCTCCTACATGTTGGGGTTGAGTTACTAAAACCTAAAAGGCTGTTCACTTTGCAAGGGAATCTGCACTATGCATGGGAAGGTTCCCTTAGCTTAGTGAATGTAGTAGATTTTCACCTATATTTTTGCACTAAACTAAGGGAAACTGCATATTTGGCCATTTGCCTTCAGTAAATCAACCCCCTTATGTCAGTGTATCTAAACGCAAAAAAAAAAAAAAAAATGTCATCTATTGCAGCTTACCAGTCCTTCGATGTGGTGGCTGCTTAGTTTGCATACCTATTAATGTCTGGTTTTTTTGCACAGTGTCACAGCATACATTGGTCTCAAGGAAATCTGTGATCCAAAGCCAGGTGAAGTGCTTCTTGTCAACTCAGCAGCTGGTGCTGTGGGCACTATTGTTGGGCAAATTGCCAAGATAAAGGTAAATCTTTAAATAGAATAATGGGGGTTTACAGTAAATGATATTGCTCTCTGCCTAGTGCTGGGTTGGAATTTAAATCCAGTGATGACTAGTGTTTTGTACCCCCCATGTTGCAGTATGAGAATACCCTTTGCCACTAGTGAAGACCCTTTGCCAGTCCTGACTCAATGTTTTGGGGTAACAATGTACAATGCTTTAATAAATGATGTTACTTTAACAAAAATTGTGTGTGTGTGTTATGTATTGCTAGGATCTGCTGGCTCAGATGAAAAAGTTGCATATTTAAAAGAAATTGGGTTTGATGAAGCTTTCAACTACAAGACCGTGAGCTCTCTGGAGGAAGCACTAAAAACAGCATCTCCGGAGGGTTATGAATGCTACTTTGAAAATGTGAGTAACTGCGAGTGTGTGGCTAGTTTCAACAAAGGGTTTCAGTTATCAGTGTGAAGTTTATTATCGCAGATGAATATTTGACCTTTTGAAAAAGTTCAGTAGCTTACATACATATGTACAAATGGAGTCAAACTATCACAAAAAGCACAAATCTGGGGGTACTGGAAACTTAATAGGAATGATTGGAGCTGATTTTCTATAGATCAGTGATAAGTTGTTCAGAAGACTGTCTGCAGAAGGTTTTACCACCTGCCCTCACTGGCTGATTACCTTAGCAATGAGTGTTCTAAAGTGGTGGTGGTTCTTGTCATGGCAGCTTGGAGGGTTGTGGGTCTTTGGGGGGCCTATGGAAAATCTGGAATTGTCACACTGGGGGCCCATCTTGTGGAATGTCACTTCCCTATTGGCAGATTGCTGCTGGTTCTACCAGGGGCACGGCTCCTTGGTGGAAGATAATATATATGCTTAATCTGGAACTGTTGCTAAGGCCAGTGAGATGTAGCGGAGGATAGAGGTGGAGCTTAGCTAAGACGTTTGGTTAATAGACACCCAAAGACCTGGCAATACTGGCCTATTTATTTCATGCACTTTACTGTCTTCTACTAAATTATTTATGGTTGTTAAACAAAAGGCTTCTATGACCAACTTAAAACCCATGTTAAGTAGTCTGAGTCGTTGTTTGGGGGGTAAAATGTCAGCAATGGAAAGGATAAATCCAATGTGTTTTTGTATGAGCATTAAAGCACAATGTCATGGAGATTTCAAAATGTTTTGTGTTTTTTGTTTTTTTTTGCATATATAGGTTGGAGGAAAGTTTGCTGATGTAGCTCTTCAACATATGAAAAACTTTGGAAGAATTGCTGTGTGTGGAAACATCTCTACATACAATGATTCTGTTCCTCAAACAGGTAACAATGCTTTATTGGAACACTACAACCATAAGAGGCTTAACCACAATTACAAAACCAGCTGCAAAGGTGTTGGCTAAATACTTCAAAGCTGTAGGCAAAATAGTCACAACAGTCTTCTGTGCAAGAGGGAAGATGGTGTTCAACAGGGTAATAACTGAGTCTCAAGGGACAGACTGGAGCAAACTTTTTGTATATGACTATAAATGGCTAAGTTATTTATAGGCTAATATGTGTATGTGATAGTGGTTTCTGTAAGCATTGAAAAAGGAAATACACCGATCATCCATAACATTATGACCACCACCCAATATTGAGTAGGTCCCCCTTTTGCCACCAAAACAGCCCTGACCTCTCAAGGCATGGACTCCACTAGACTTCTGAAGGTATGCTTTATCTGGCACCAAGCCATCAGTAGCGGATCCTTTAAGTCCTGTAAGCTGCTGAGTAGGCCTCCATGGATTGGACTTGCCACAGATGCTTGATTGGACTGAGATCTGGAGAAATTGGAGGCCAAGTCTACATCAAACTTGTTGTCATGTTCCTCAAACCAGTCTTGAACCATTTGTGCAGTGTGGCAAGGCACATTATCTTGCTGAAAGAGACCACTGCCATCATGGAATAATGTTACCATAAAGGGGTGTACTTGCTCAGCAATAATGTTTAGGTAGATGGTATGTGTCAAAGTAGCATCCACATAAATGGCAGGATCCAAAGTTTCCCATCAGAACTGCAATGCAGTGGTGGAACTACCAGGGTCGCAGCGGTCGCATATGCGACCGGGCCCTGGCGTTCCGCCACTTGCGGGGAGGCCCAGGAAGGAAGAAGGGGCCCCTGCAGTGGCATAACATATGGGGATCTGACGGTGTGGCTGCCTCGGCCGCCAGACAGTGAAAAGCGGGCGGGCCGGGCAGAGAAAACAACTAGCCAGAAATGCAGGCAAATACTGGGGCAACACAGGAGCCTCAGCTGTGAGGACCCAGCAGCAGCCACCTGATACAGAGACTCCATGTTCCCGGCCGCTGTCCCCCACGCTGGTATGTTTTTTTACAGCCTCCTGCTCAAGCTATAGATCATGGAATAGAATATGGCTGAAACTGACTATAGTCTATTCCATGTTCTATAATGTCATTGTACTACTAGGAAACAACTTAGGTTTCTAGTTACACCTCTGCTGCAATGCACTGTGTGTTCAGATGCCTTTCTATCAGAACCAGCATTAACTTTTTCAGCAGCTTGAGCTACTGTAGCTCTTCTATTGGATTGGAGTAAAGGGGCCATCTTTCGCTCCCCACGTGCAACAATGAACCTGTCCACTGGTTTTTCTTGCATGGATCACTTTTGGTAGGTCCTGAAAACTGGGAACATCCCACAAGAGCTAGCAGTTTTGGAGTTGCTCTGACCTAGTTGTCTAGCCATCACATTTTTGCGCTTGTCAAAGTTCCTGAAATTCCTATGCTTGCCCCCCCCCCCCCCCCCCCCCCCTTTTTCTGCTTCCAACGCATCAACTTCAGGCACAAATTTTTTACTTTCTGCCTAATATATCCTACCCACTTCCAGGTGCCATTGTAAAGGGATAAACAATGTTATTCACTTCACCTCTTGATGGTCATAATTTATGGATATACCGATGCTAGTATCGCTGCTGATACCGAGTATTTGCCTCCAATACCGGAAACTCCTAACTGGCAGTGCAGAGGGAGCATGGAGCCGGGTGATGCATTCAAATTTCTGAATTGGAAAGTCTGACTGTTCCTTTAACAAAAATTTGGATCCATCCAAATCTCATTGAAAACAAAAGTAAATTGGACATTTGACTGTTCTCTGGCCAATCAGCTGTTTTTTTGTTTGTTTTTTTTTGGCTGTTGTGGGTTGCATTACAGGCACGGTCATGCGACTTTGTTCCGAAACGAAAATTTGGATGGATCCAAAAAACGAACCGAATTAAATTTTAGATCCGAAAGATAAAAATCCAAAACAAACCCCACGTATAAATTGGTTTGGAATCCCCAGCAACTATTAAACAACCAATCCCAGCAAACACTCCTGTTCATGGACTGAAAAAAAATACTGTATATTGCAGTATCTACATACAGCTGTAGCCACCATCATTTATTACAAAGACAAATAATACTTATTGGCGCAGTTAAGACATAACATCTAAATACCATGGTAAATATAAAAGAAATGCATAAACCGTGTCCCCTGTAGAATACTAATACTAGAATAAAGTTTTCACTTCTTAATACATTTTTCTTTGGAAGAAATCTAAAAATGAAAATGTATTTCACACCGGTATCCCGTTAAAATTTAGGGATGGGTGTTGTATACATGTCCCATATTCAGCAAAGGGAAGAATATTAATATGGATATCTCAGCCATCATATCCATATTCATCTAGCATTATGGCCATAGAATGTATTGCACCGGATGATCTTTGATGCTAAATGAATGTGGATATGATGGTGAAAGACTTTTTATAATTTTTGAATTTCCTCTATATCAAGATGTTTTAAGGTGTGGAAACTTTAGAGGAAATACAATATCATCATTATACAAGGGACACGGTTTATGGATTTCTTTTATTTTTACCATGGTTTTTGGATGTTATGTCTTAACTGTTCCAATAAGTATTATATGTCCTTGTAATAAATGATGTTTGAATATAGACTTATGTATTGTGGCCACATCTGTATACAGATACTGTGATTGATATCTATATCTTTTTTTTTTGTGTGTGTGTGTGTTTTTTGTTTTGAATCCTGTAAAGTAGGAGTGTTTTTATAAATTACAGCACTGCTGTAATGCAAAGTGGATTTTCAATTGAGTTATTTTTTTTCTCCTACCTACAGGGCCATATGTTCAGCCATTAATTCTCTTTAAACAACTTCGTATGGAAGGGTTTCTGATATTCAGTTGGGAGAATAAGCCAATATATGACGAAGGACAGAGGCAGCTGTTGGAATGGATATTAGATGTAAGTTTGGGTGATGTTTTACATTGCAATGCTTTAAAGAGAACTATTAGGAGAGTAAAATGTTTTCTTAATGGTTTGAGCTAGTGCGTGACACTGCAACAGTCACATGACTGCTCTATAGCTCGAGAACTGAGCGATCACAAACCACAAATTGCTCAGCTCAGTTTCTCCCTGCAGAAAGCAGTGACAGTTGGTCATCTCTCCCCTCAGGAATTGCTTCTCTCTTTTCCCCAGTGCTCACTGGAGGGACAGACAGGGGAGAGGGTGGGCACAGCTGGCTCTGGTTCTAGAGAGGCAGAGCCAGCTGTCAATAAGGCAGTGGGGTGGATCCCGACAATATTGTTGGGATCCTTCCCGGCTGCAGTGCGGCTGTGTGCTGTCTGCATATAGAAGACAGGAGCCTGCTATTTTGCTGAGTTTGGGTCACAAGAATACATTAGTAAATGTACTTCTGTAAATGTACTTCTGTGACCCAAAAAAGGGTTGGCTTTAGTGCTTTTAAATTATATCTAAAGTTTTGTTTTTCTCGGTTTTTTTTTTCAAAAGGAGTAAGAAATGGTTAACTCATGTCTGGGTTAATTCTATCACCTGTGTGTGTGATTCCTCTTTGCTTCCTGTCTTGTAGACACAACAGGAAATGGGAGAATAGCTGAAGTGAAGGAAATTACCCTTAAACAGTTTTCAGGGCAACCAGTTTCCAAGTCAGAAATTTGAATTGTACCTCCAGCAGTGCACACACGACAATAAAGACCCAGCAATGGATCTGACCCCTTCACACTCCAAAAAACATTTTTGTGTTTAGCTAAACATTACATAACCTACAGACTTTAATATTTACACTGTCAAATTATAAGTAACTGAACAAACTTTCTGGTGCAAAAGTATACTTGTGTGCATTTGGAAAACGTGTATGCTTGTGCCTATGGAACGGAGATGGGAAATGGTTAGCAGTCATCGCTGGCCACTTTAAAGGAGGACACAGCAGTGGACAGCCAGGAAAAAATACAGCCTGAGTGACCAATGACCATGCTCTTTAGTAGGCTTGAGTTTAAATTATCTGGCACAGTCACCTAGGATCTACAGAGATAGACAAGTTTCAGATTCCAACTGTAAAAGGCCAGGCCAAGTGAATATTCTCTGATCTTTCTTTATCTGCAGCACCATGGCAAATAACCTACATTGATAAAGATTATTATAGAATTGTGGCTAATCATCAACCAAATTATGGCTTGTATACTCTGTTAATGTCGGGACAGAAACTAGTTTTATATCTCATAACAGATCTATATGTATGCATCTTAAAGGAAACCTGTGCTTTTCTCTTGCAGGGCAAAGCAACAGGTTCACTTTAATGCAATGCTGCCCAGCACCATGTACTTGCTTTGCTTTCACTCCCCTGCTACTATTTTCAGTTGCCAGAGGCAAAGGAAAGCCCTATGTAAGCTGTGAATCTCTGAATTGTAGTTTATACAAGAATATGGACTCTGAATTGCAATGCTGATTGGCCCAACAAATAGAGGGCAAATCAGTAAATACAGTTTAATGACCCCCCCCCCCCACCGCAGCAGAACATGCTTTAACTTCTATTCATTCTCCTACCACTCTATTCAGCCATTGGGAGGGAACAAAATACACAGCACATACAAGTATAAAGGAGTAAATGACTCACACCCTCACCTCTTAAGTGCATCATTTTGTTTTAAATAGTGCTAATACGATATATTTTTAACAATACTGGAGTTTTCCTTTAACTCCACTCTATTGCCAAACTGAACTTGCCAATAAAAGCTGTCCCTTAAATGCTTACCTTTCCTGCTGCCTGCACCAGACTACTCCAACATAAATTAAGCTTCTTTAGAAACCTACACTTCTGGGAGTGATGCTCTCCTTGCCCCCGCTGAGCTCAATGGTTCCTCGTGCTGGCCACTAAAACCACTACTGTGTACTGTAGTGGATGTAGCTGTCCTGTAATAGCCATGAATAGAGGCATTACTAGGCTTACTAATGCGTTTTTTTGAGAGTTTTTTTTTTTCAAATCCAGTACCAGTATCTGAAATAACGTGTGGTATTTTCATGTAGCAACTTACAAATTGTTGGGCTGTCAACGGTGTACTCAGCTGTTCCCTGGCTTCTACACAGTGGTATTTGTGCAAGCCAATTAAAGCACCAAATGACCACTCTGTCACTAGCCACTTTTACAATGTGTTCCCATGGCAGATATAAGAAGCTTTTTATACAAAGATTCTGGCCACAAAGAAAAAACAAAGAATACCAATGCATGCATACCAGTGTATGGCAACTTGTATCTCCCAGAATTGCGAACAGTTGAGTGTGCCACTGACAGCACAGCAACCAAATGGACAGCTTCCAACTGATTGTTAACTTATCTGTAGACCTATTTATACTGGAATTCAACTAAGTAAAATATGCCATACCTGCAGAGCGCTCCTTCTAGCAAAAAGTAAAAAAAGTGCAGACCCTGTATCACCACTTCACCCCATTCTGGCTGTGTGACCCATTAGTTGCCGTTTACAGCTTTTGCTGTACTAGAACACTGCTACTATGCATGCCCCAGGTCATCACCATAGAAATAAATAGTATGCCAGACTCCTTGCGGGCCTTGAAGGGGAGTTTTACCATGATAGTGTCTTCTCATGTGTGCAGGTGTACACACAGTGTTGCTCCAGCAACCCCATCAGTAGGTGGGTCAAGGTCATGAGAATCAGTGGAAGCCATGATCAGAGAGCTAAATGTCTCTTTAATTTTTTGCTCAGAGGAGTAAAAGTGACACTAAACTCAGGAAATAAATCTTAAAATGCATTCAAGTACCTTAACTATTATCAATACCTTATTTGTGTATCCCTTGGCTGTGGATCCTCAAATCATCTCTGAATTCATGCTGACACTGCCCTTCCTTCTGGAAGGTGTCTACTTTTGTTCCCCATGATCCCGTGTGTGTTGCAAAGTAACCACTGCTCTAAACTCACTCCTGTGATGGACTACCATCTCAATACAAATTAAACTAAATATGGGATTGTAATCAATTATGGGAGTGAGCTTGGAGCATTGGTTACTTTACAACACACAGGAACCATGGGGAATAAAAGTAGCCACCCTCCAAATGAAGGACAGTGTCAGCATGAATTCAGAGATGATTTGAGGATCTACAGCTGAGTGATATATACATGAGATTTAAGACTTAAATGCATTTTTAAGATTTGATTCCTAAGTTTAGTGTCATTTAAAGTGAGTTGCTTGGGGGCAGTCAATTAAAAGTATAGTTGACTATTAAATTAGTATAAATGTTTGCATATGAAAAGATGTACAGAAAATATATGCCCACATTATGATTTTTCTTTTTTTCTCTTTTCCAGGGCAAGGTTAAATATAATGAACACATCACTAATGGATTTGAGAACATGCCAGCAGGATTCATTGGAATGCTCAATGGAGAAAACATTGGAAAAGCAATTATCAAAGCGTGAACTTTAAATCAATACTTTATGAACACTGAATTCATTGTATTGGTGCCCTTTAATGTTTTGTGGGAAAGTCTGTTTTAAAATGCCATAAGCATATACAAATAAATATTAGATATGTGCAAATATTGACTATTAACTGGGTGGTGACCCGATAGTGATGTTACCAGAGGCAACTTCCACCCTGCTCAAAGCTCTGAAGCTGCAAACAGTAGTATAGCAATTGTGTAACCACTAAATATGTAACAACCCCCTGCTGAGCCCCGTGGTTGAGTCCTGTAGGGACGTAGTAGTCGGCAGAAGGCAACTTGGTACCCAGCGGGGCATCCCTTATGTGATGCACGTTTAAGTTATGGATTAAAGCAGTACTGCAATCTGCCATTTAGGCTGTACTGCAATGCACATCTGCTGGTGTGTATTCCCAGGCACAGTGCAGATGCATATGATCCCAGCGCATTACACTTTTGTTTTTGTCCAAACTTTTCTGAAGTGTTGCAAGTAACATTTCATTTAAGTTCTATAGGTAAAGTTACATTAGCTGCCTAATCAGAGTGCCCTATACTACAGTTATCCCCATCAGAGTGCCTCCTTACATTAGGTGTCCACATAAGCGTGTCCCCTTAGATTAGTTGCTGCAATTGGAGTGCCCCCTTGCATTAAATACAAAAAAAGGGGGCACCCTGATGGGGACAATTACTTATTAGTTGTCCTCATCGGAGCGCCCCCTTACACTGGTGTGTATGTATGTACACTATATTACCAAACGTATTGAGACACCCCTCCAAATCATTGGATTCAGGTGTTCCGTGCAATTTCCTTGCTACTAAATACTCCACGGTCAACTGTTAGTGGTATTTTAAAACCAAGACAATTTCATGCTCCCAACTTTGTGGGAGCATGTCGGAAAAGTTTGGGGATGGTCCCTTTCTGTTCCAACATGACTTAGCACCAGCGCACAAAGTAAGGTCCATAAAGACATGAATGAGCGAGTTTGTGGTGGACGAACTTGACTGGCCTGCACAAAGTCCTGACCTCAACCCGATAGAACACCTTTGGGATGAATTAGAGCAGAGACTGCGAGCCAGGTCTTCTCGTCCAACATCAGTACCTGATCTCACAAATATGCTTATGGGAGAATGGTCAAACATTCCCATAGACACACTCCTAAACCTTGTGGACAGCCTTTCCAGAAAAGTTGAAGCTGTTATAGCGGCAAAGGGTGGGCCAACTCAATATTGAACCCTGCGGACTAAGACTGGGATGCCATTAGAGTTCATGTTTGTGTAAAGGCAGGCGTCCCATTACTTTTGGTAATATAGTGTGTGTGTGTGATTATATATATACATATAATTACATTGTTGTACTTTATGTCCAACTTTGCAAAGTCATAACCACAAAGCACTAAAAGCCCATGGTGAGATTAGCATACTCCAGGAAAAAAATGATGCTATGTCATCTCAGACTTAATTTCTTTTTTTCCACCATTTTAAATTGGGCAAATTATTTATTAAAAATGCACACTTGGTAAATATCATCTTTAATCAACTAAACTCAGATGCTGTCTTCGCAATATTTCAAGAAGACACTGTAAAGATGATTGTAGACAAGGCATTGTATGACTTCATCACAAATGTTTCCTGTTTTCCTATGACCAAATGATTAAAAAAGGGGAAAGACAACCTCAATACCACATCAAAAACACAGTTTAGTCTCAAACTTATACACCACAACCAAGTGCGCCTTATAGGGATAAGACATGTACTGTGCACTGTTGAATATTCTAAATTTAGCCCAGTCGAGGGACACTTCTTCTCTGCTACTTTCGGCAGATGCGGAGAGCGCCTTCACTTTCTGAAATAGATCCTCAGTCTTATCTACGGACTTCCCTCTAGCAAATGGTAAACGCCAAAGCTGCCCATTGTCTCCTCTCATATTCATATTGACCATTGAGCCCCAATTGAGACGTATCAGAGCAAACCCTGATTTTTCTGGGCCAAAGGGTAAAACAGAACATCATACATTAGCTGTATATGTCGGATGACCTCCTATTTTTTAAAGGAACAGTGATGTTAACGTCACTTAAAGGGAAACAATAAAAATGAAACATGCCTTTAAATATTGTGCCTGGGGGTCCCCTTAAAGTGTTGCATCTGTACAATGTATAGAACCTGCTGCAGCAAAACTGACATTTCTAAAGAAAAAAAAAATCTTTTTTAAAGTCATACCAGGCCCTTAAGGTCTGGTAGGAATTTTAAGGAGGAACCCCACCCTCAACAATGGGGGGGAGAAACATGGGGTCCCCCCTAAAATTCCATACCAGACCCCTGATCCAAGCATAGGCCTGGCAGGGCCGGAAAGGTGGGGGGGACGAGCGAGTGCCCCCACTCCCTCCCATACCAGGCCACATGCCCTCGGCACTGGGAGAGTGCTTTTCCAGGGTCGCCTGTGGAAAACCACCTTCTCCCCGTGCCGATGGGGACAAGGGCCTCTTCGCCACAAGCCGTTGGCTGTGGGGGTGCGGGCAGGGGCGTATTCACATCAGCGTACCCCTTTAATAAAGGAACACCCCAATGCGCCCCCTTGTAAATGAGTAAGGGGTACTTGTACCCCTACCCATTCACTAAAGGGATAAATAGAATTGAAATTAAAGAAACAGACTTTTGGAAAAATTCCTTTAATTGAAAAAAAAAACCAAGTCCTTTATTGTTAAAAAAAATCCCCAAAAATTGATCCACCGACGTAATCCAGGGTCAATCACGACGTCCAGCATTGTCCACTATGACGACGACTCAACGAAATAAAAAATAATAGAAATAATTTTTAAAAACGGTGACAGCTAGCTCCGCCCAACTGTTTACAGTTTCACATCATCTGACGGGTGAGCCATGATTGGGCAAAGTCATCATGACTTTGCCAATCATGGCTCTTACATAGTACTGAGCCCTGATTGGGCAAAGTCTTGCACTTGACCTGTTTCCCCAGTCACTGGTCGAGACTCGAGTGTAGGGTGAAACAAACTCTGATTTATTGAGCAACTGCACAAACCTTTATACAGCAAGTGATGAGATCAGATTATAATCCCATCACACCCACCCTGCCTTCCCCAGACAATCGGTCTGCTCATCACCACAGGGTTTCCCCTGCTAACGAGCTCCAGACAGCCATAGCAAAAGCCTGGCAAGAATGTCATTGTTCTGAGCTCCTTCAGAGTACAATGGGAGATAACGAGGGGGGGTGCTGATAGTCTTTTCATAACCAGGTCACACAGCATAACGCACTTAAACATAACCCAACACCAATACACATTTAACTTATATATTTAACTCCTCACCATGTCGTCACATAACTCCCCCAAGTTAAAAGATGGCAGACCCAGTGAGATCCTCTACGGGTCCACTTGGGGATGTCCATGCTGTTAGTCACCCTTCCAGTCAGTGGCGTAACTAGTGACCTCAGGGCCCCATGCAAGAATCCCATGAAGGCCATCCCCCCCAAGAAGACACATATTAGATTTTTTTTTTAAACAAAATTTAATTTAAATTTAAATTTAAACAAGGAAAGAAAAAACAAAAACACTGTCCTCTTTCATCTCCCCCTTCATGTCCCCGGCGACCCCATGTCACCTTTGTTGATACTTCCAGCTCCCTGTCTCGGTCTCCCCCTTCGTGTCCGCAGCACTCGGCACTCAGCGGCAGTTCTGTGTGATGAGGGGGCGGGGATTACACCGCTCCCTCTCATTGGCTGCTGCCCGGCTGGATGATGCTTCACGCTGCGCCCGGAACAAGATGAGGGGAGCAGCGTGAAGCATGTAGGGCCCAGGACGGGAGGAAGAGGTCCCGGGACTGGTAATCAGCGGTCACCAGTGTCCCCTTCCTCCTGTCCTGGGCCCCCTCTAAGTGGCCGAACTCCAGGGCCCGGTCGCGGCCGCGACCTCTGCGACCCTGGTAGTTCCGCCACTGCTTCCAGTTCTGTTTGGCGGGATAGTCCATCAGCATTACCATTGGGTTTCCAGAGCCGGTATTGAATTGGCAAATTGGACGGCTGTAGGGCCAGCCGTCCATTGGCCCCGGACACCAGGTTCAACCAAACAAGGGGGGTCTCCAAAATCCTAGGTCCGTAGTCACTGGGAAGGAGGCAGGCTGCCAGGCCCCTCCAGGAGCCCAGGTCACGATGGACTCTGTGGCATTTCTCCCCTCCCAAAGGTAGACTAATTATGTCCTCGTCCCCCAACTGGTCTGGACCTGCGTTTCTCGGGCAGCATAAGTCCATACGTTTCAACCACAGGACATCCTGCCTTTGGGGAGAGATGTCGTCTGTGCCTTTCTGAGGAACATGCTGCCTCTGGAGAGAGGTAAAGCCAGAATCTTCTGGACACCAAAGTCCTCTCCTGGAAGAGAGGCTTGCTTCCTGTTCTCCCATGAAGGTTGGAACAGGCAACAGTGCGGGACATAGGCCACTGGTGCTCTGCACTGGTGTCAGCACTTCTGCTAGGGAAACCACATCCTCAGTTCTGGCTTGCTGTTGGGGTGGGAGGACGGCTTCCTCGTCTACCTGGATTCCAAATTGCTGCTGGGGTGGGAGGACGACCTCCTCCTCTTCCTGTATCCCAATTTGCTGCTGGAGAGGGAGGACGACCACCTCATCTCACGGACTGCTGATCTGCCACTGGGGAGAGATGTTGACTACCTCTTCTCCCTGGAACTTCATCTGCTGCTGGGGAGAGAGGTCGTCTACCTCTTCTCCCTGGAACTTCGTCTGCCGCTGGGGAGAGAGATCGGCTAGCTCTTCTCCCTGGAACCCTGTTGCCAGCTCTTCAGCTGGGATCAGTAGTTCCTCTGCATCAGCCTGCTGTTGGGGAGAGGGGCTGTCTGCCCCTGCTCCCTAGAGCTTCAGATGTGCATTTGGTGCTGGGCAGAGGTCAGCAGCACTCTGTCCTGATGCCAGCTCTTCTGCTGGGGTTAGTAGCTCCATGACATCTGTGGTCGCTGGGGCATGCGGTTGAGCGGTGTCGAA